GCCGCGGCGCTGGTCCTCCAACACCTGTCGCAGCGCCGGCACAGGTGCAAGTTGGACTGGTCCTCCGCAGCCTGCTCGTAGTGCGATAGGGTTGGACCCCGTACTTGTTTGCGCGGCGGGCCCTTGCGCAGCATGCCTGTCTTGTGGTTGATCAGCACGCGGACCGGCGGCAGCTCTGGCGGTTGCGGGGCCTGGGCCCCGGGTGCGCGAACTGCTTCTCGCTGCTTTGCGGCGTGCGCTCTCGCCCTCAGCTCCGCCGCCGCCTCGTCTACCGTCGGCAGCTCGCAGTCGCCGCCCGGGCCAAGGCCGTCGCGGAGTTTCTTCCACACTCGTTCCTTTGCAGCAAGCTCGGCGCAGCAGCGGCTCTGGTCGCACCCGATGGGCATGCCGCTCGCGGGGCCCCATCAGCCCACGCCGCGCCTTTGCTCAAGGTTGAAACCGGCTTGGCTTGCTATGCCACTATGAAGAACCGCGGGCTGTGCAGCGCGTAGTGGGCCGCGTGTCCTGCCAAACGGTGCGCGACAGCCGTCGCCATCAGGCAGTTGGCGCAGCTGCCGTTCGCCGATGACATCGACGGCCAGAGCCAGTCCCTCGGAGCGTCTGCGCCCTGCGGGAGGATCCCGCTGGCCAGGCTGAAGAAACGCTTGCCCCAGTCGAAGCCGGCCCAAGTCACCCGCAACGCTGCCAAGGCACCGGCGCAGGTTTGCCTTCTGGGCGCTAGCGCGCAGCGCGCAGTGCGTCACGCCCGAGGCAGAGGCCCGCGCTCCTGTCTGGTCGCTGAGCCTCAGCCATGCGGAGGCTAGGTACAGCTTAAGAGGATGCTGTAGGCGGTCGCGCCCAGGTCGTCCTCGCGAGCGCTGAACAGGCTCAGCAGGTTCACAACCGTTTGGTACGTGTACGGTGTTGCCTGTAAGCGGGCTGCGCTTGCATATCTGGATGACACTTTTGCTGCGGCCTGCACGGCTGCGTCTTGTAACGCCCAGGGGAGCACCAAGGCAGTGTAACCAGTCCAGACCGCTTAAGAGCATGCGCGGGTCGCTGTTCCGCCCGACGCTTGCATCCCGTAGGAAATAAGCCATTCCCAGCGGCGTGAGCTTCCAGGGGTTTAAGCCTTTGCTGTCAGACCAGCTCCTAAGGCGGCAGACAGCCCGAACGTGCCCCATGAGCGCAGCGGGAACTTTGGCTCTCTGTCGAAACAACATTATTATAGGCTGCGTTGCTCGACCTCTGGTAGTACGTTTTCTCTGACTTGCCGCAGTCTGGCTGACGCCATGCCGATGTCGTCGGCAAGGGCAAGGGCGAGCTGCAGCGCTTTCTCCAGCTTGCTCTTTCCATGGCCGCTGCAGAAAGAGAGGGCGGCGCCACTGCTGGCGCGGCTCGGCGCCGCTTGCCCGGTCGCGGAAGCACTGTGCTTGTCTCTGCCTACTTGGTCGTTCTCGTCATGGAACCTTCCCTGGGGGGCAAGGAATGTTTCCGCGCCACGTACGCGATCCGGGCCAAGGCGGTTACGATGTGGTCGGCCTCGGCGGTGGCTGTTAGCAACAATTCCGGCGCGTGCGTGTGCAGTTGCTCGTCGGGGGTGCTCGTCGCTGTGGATATGAAGTCCTTCTTCGGTGTCCCAAAAAATTGTTGCTGTAAGGTTGCTGCACGTATTTAATGCCGTAGCCATGCGGGCAACAATGCTCGGGCAGGCCCCCCGTTTCCTCGCCACAATGTGTATCACGCGACACATGCGCGGTGATAGCACATCCAGGCAGTCAGGCGCATCCTCGCTCGCCATTGTCACAAAGGCGGTGCTTTGGGCGGCGGTGGGCAGAAAAGCTGCCGTGTTCGCTGGGGCTCGGGGCCTAAAGGTTCGTGTTTGAGCCACCGTTTGAGCACAGACGACTACGGATCGCAGCGGGTGCAGCTGGGCGGCCGATCCTGTCCGTCACGGAGCGGGGTCGCGTGGCGCCTCGGACCTCGTAGGCCTGACTTTACGCGGTTGCTTACACACTCTTGCGCGGGCATTTGCGCTAGGGCGCGGGGCCCGCGCTGTCTGGCAAAGGCACTGGCTCCTCCTTGCGTAGGGGCCCCCTCTGGCCTCTCGAAGATCCATCTCTCCCAAGTCGTCCCCTCCAACCATGGTGGTAGAGTCACGAAACTTGCGAGGAGGGGCCGCGTGGTTTCAGCTGACGCGTTTCTTACGCAGCTCTACGCAGGCATTTACGCAGGGCGCCGTCCCCAGGACGATCGTGCCCGTACTGTGGTATGGACACGACTCTTCAAGGAGCGGCCGCGTGGCCTCACCTTACGCATTTCTTACGCGGCGTTACGCAGGCATTTGCGCGGAGTCGTACCTTCAGGACGATGCCTGTTCCTCTGTTTGATTCAAGGGCCAAGACGTCTCTTCTGTCGTGTTGCTGCTGGGGGACGAAGTGCAGGTCCCAAGTTAGAGCCCACTCACTTCGTCCCAAGTTCGCTCCTGTGAGAGGGGCAAGCCATATCGTGGTCTTGTTCACCCCCCTGGGCCACGTAGTGGTCCCATGGTGGGGGTGGGCCACATCGTGGTCCCAGTGGGGCGGCCACATAGTGGTCCCACTCTCCCCGCTCAGGCCACATAGTGGTCCTATGGAGGGTTGGGCCACGTTGTGGTCCCAATGGGGTGGGCCACACAGTGGTCCCGTGGCGGGTTGGGCTACATCGTGGTCCCTGGAGTGCTCCTTGGGTGCGTTGCCTTTTGGCTGGCGGGTTGCGTCGCGATCCCCATGGGGCCTTTTGGCTGGCGGGTCGCGCTGCGATCCCCCTTCGTGTGCCATCTTAGCCCCGCGACCCACCCGCGGCCCGCCCATGGAGGCCTCCCGAATGGAGCCCGAAAAAAATTGGGCCGGAGGGTTCCACCGCATCCCCGATGTATCGGCGCCGTCGGCGCGGAGAGAGTCGGGCTCCACGCGGAGCTGCACCGGCGATGCATCGACGACGTCTGTGAAGGGGCCCCGGGACACACAAATAAATACACACAAATAAAATGATTCCCCATATTTTCTGGATTTTTGTCTTCCCGCCCAATTCCCATACTTTCCCATATGTTACTGGCACTCTCTTTCCCTCCTGAGTCTGCTCGGACCCCATCTGGGGGGCCCAGAAATACACTGCTCTGAGCGACATCTGCGCCCACGGCGGACTGCTTCGCGCTGACCCTGGAGAACATGCCACTGGGACCTCCGACGATCCGCTCCGCGAACCACTCCCATTGCGACGTGATTGGTGTCTTTTGAAGGGGCCCCAGGAAACACAAATAAATACACACAAATAAAAACATTCCCCATATTTTCCAATATTTACTGGGTTTTTGTCTTCTCCCCCACTTCGCATATTTTCCCATATTTTCTTGGGAGTCGGCGATTAATTGTGTCTGTGTGCTTTTTCTCCTCCTGATCTTTGACCCTAGCGTGGCAAACCAAGCGCCCCCCTTGCTCTCATCCACAACTGCCTAGCTTAGGTATACCGCCCAACCCCCGATCCCCCCCTTCGTGCAACAGAAATGAGGACGGGTCAATAACGGATGCTGTACCCAACGTCAAGTGCTCTCCAAATCCGACAGCGGCCGCCGCTTGGCACGCGACGCTCATCTGAAGCAACACCGACACCAAGTCCTGCCCAACATGGGACAGAACCGCTACTGGCCTTCGCTCCCTCCTTCGATCTTCCCGCCCCCACGTCTGGGTGGCGGTGGCGATCATCCCCCCGTTGTGAGGGCTTCGGGCTGCGCAGAGTCAGCTCCCCCCAGGTAGTCCTGCAACCCTCGTCAAAAATAACCTCAAAAATGCCTCACGTAGCTGAACTGATTGTGGGAGATATGGGACCGAGTGCCGATGAGTGCGATGTACTTGTATGCGCCGCCCCTCCAATGTCGGTCATCTTTGAATTCTCGAGTCGCTCCCGGCCACACCACATCTGCCCTGGCCCCGACACTGAAGGGGCGTCGTATCGACATTGAAGGGGCGCGCCGACATCGAAGGGGCGTGCCCGCCATTTTGAGGTTAATTTTGACGAGGGTTGCAATCAAGGAGGAGGCCTGCCCTGCGCCGAGGGCCCCGCCGGCGGGCGCGGCTCCCGGCGCGCGGGCGCCCTCCCTCGCCGGGGGCCGGCGCCCGGGAGGGCCGCCGCGGGCAGCGGCTTCGCGACCCCCCCCCCCTTGGTGCCGCGCATGCCTGCTCCTCCCTCCTCCTCCTGCCCCTCCTCTACCCCTCCTCCTCCTCCTCCTCCTCCTCCTCCTCCTCCTCCCCTTGAGTAGCCCGGGCCGGCCTCGGCACCGCAATCCACCCTGGGGCGCGGAGCGCTACACAAAGGGCACCGCCGAAGCTGCGCCGGGGTGCTGAGACCCCCCGGAGGGCCTGCTGCAAGGGCTCCCAACTTCGCGCTTCGCGCTGCGCGAAGCGCGAGGTGCGAACAACTTCGCGCTCTCGCGCCACCCCCCCCAAAGGGAGAAAAGGAGGACAGGGAGGAGGAGGAGAAGGAACGAGGACCGCGAAGCGCGAAGCGCGAATAACTTCGCACCCTCGTGGGAGCCCTTGCTGTTGGCGCCAGCCTGGACTGCCCGGGTGGGGGCTGTCTGGGCGCGGCCGGGAGCCCTGATAGCCAACGCAGCGAAGAAGTCACGACCCGACCCTGGATCCCACCGTCCTGCGCCATTTTTCGAGCCGGACGGATCTGTGGAAGTCCCAGGGCCCGGAAGCCAGGCGAACGAAAGCACGCGGCTGAACAAAAGTGAGACGCCAAGATCTCAGGGTGCCAACCCCCGCCCTCTCTTCTCTCCCTCCTCCTCCTCCTCCTCCTCCTCCTCCTCCTCCTCCTCCTCCTCCTCCTCCTCGTCCTCCTCCTCCTCCTCTGGCTCCGAGGTCGGACCCGCCTGGGCAGCCGCGGCCTGCCCCCCGTGCTCTGCCTGGACAGCGGCCCAGTCCAGCGCCCGTCCGTGCTCTGCCTGGACAGCGGGCCGGACCAGCGCCCGTGCCGCGGCCTCAGGAGCGGCACGGCGAACTCCTGCAAGGCAGGCCTTACAAAGATAAAGGGGCCCCAGAACACACAAATAAATACACACAAATAACAATATTCCCCATATTTTCCAATATTTTCTGGGTTTTTGTCTTCCCCCCTACTTCCTATATTTTCCCATATTTTCCTGGGAGTGGACGATTAATTGTGTCTGTGTGTTTTTTCCCCTCCTGAAAAGAGTCTTAGCCGAACTCCCCTGACCTTCCAGAGAGCTATGTTTTAGCACTGGAGACCTAAAAACCTAAAAAACTGGGCGAAACTGCCTGAAACCAAGATGCAGAATAGCTCTAGGATAGGCTTTTAGGTCGGGTGCTATCTTTTAGCCCTCCTGGAAGGTCAGGGTCGGCAGGGTTCGGCGAAGCTCAGCCGGGCTTTTCAGCCTTCACAAGGCATGGCAGGACTCCGCAGAAGATGCCAATGCCGAGGACAAGACGCAGCAGGGCGCAGCACGGCGTGCCAGGCCCAGGTGGGCTTAGCAAGGCTTGCCACGCCTAGCCGCGCACAACACAGCCTGCGGGGATGGGGGAGAACGAACGAACGAACGGACGCCACTACAGCGAAAGCTGTCCCAGCTACGGGGATGGGCGTGCAGCGCCGCAGCGCTCAGCGCGTGTTTTCTCGACGAAATACCTTCTTGTAGATGGTGGAGGTCGCTGTCTCGAAGAAAGGTGTGCCGATTCTCTGGCGTAGCTTGGAAACCGTGTATCTGCTAATACTTACACGAGTCGTCGCCCCATCTTTTCTGGGGTCGGTAGGGTCATCTTCCTCTCGCTCGGCGGTCTGAGCCTGCACACCACGCCGCGGCGCCTAGTGTCCACCTGCCAGCCGGACTGGACGCAACCTTGCGTGCATAACTGAGGACTGGGGCAAGGTGCGGGAGAGTGACCCAGCCACGCGCGAGGGGACGGCCCTGTCCAGAGCAGGGGGCGCGAACAGACCAGTCCAAGAGACTAGAAATCCACTGCCGCTCGTGATGGGCCTGTTTTCCACCACCACCACCACCATAAGTTGGAGGGGGAAAGCAGATGGAGGACGAGGAGGAGGAGGAGGAGGAGGAGGAGGAGGAGGAGGAGGAGGAAGAGAAGGAGGAGGAGGAGGAGGAGGAGGAGGAGGAGGAGGAGGAAGAGGAGGAGGCGGAGGAGGAGGGGAGGAGGAGGAGGAGGAGGAGGAGGAGGAGGAGGAGGAGGAGGAGGAGGAGGAGCAGGAGCAGGAGGAGGAGGAGGAGGAGGAGGTCGACGACGAAAAGCCAGAGGAGAAGTGGCAGGCCCTCTGGCCTCTGAGTCCCGTGGTTCCCCAATCAGCGCTTGCACTCAAGGGGTCCTGGCGGGGTTTTCCTGGGGGTCTCTCGGGCCGTCTTGGGGAGCCTCTTGGCTCCTCAAGCCCGGAAAGGTAAGAGCACGGACATCTCTCAAACATTCTGTCCCTCGGGGCCTTCTTTGGGCGCTCTTGAGGCGTTTTGGAAGGTCCCAGTCAGTGTTTGCACGGAAAGGGTCCTGGCGGAAATTGAAAGATCTGGCGAAAGTATCCTGCCGATTTGGGTGGCCTGCTGGGTCCCCGGGATTCCGGGTTTCTGGCTCCTGGCTATTGATTCCTGGCCGATTTCGGGGGGGTCGGGGTTCCCGGGTTCCCGGTCGATCTTCTTATCGATCAAACCATCCATTGATTGGGGTTTTCTTTTGGTGTAATTTTTGTTCGTGTGTGTGTGTGTGTGTGTCTCCCTCGCGCGCGCGGCCGCCCTTGTCTTCTTCCTCCCTCTTTGCACGCCGGACAGCCAGCCGTTCGGTTGCCCCGGATAGCCGCACGCGGGAGCGGACGGCCTCTGCCTCGACGCCGACGAGAACAGTGTCCCCCCCTCCCTGCCACGAGCCTCAGGGCACCCCGAGACACTCTGAGAACGCCCAGTGGGCGTGGTTGGCGGGTGCGTTTTGGGGCTCCCCCCCCCACGCGCGGATTGCAGTCATTGCGCGACATCAGAAGCAGAACCTAGAGAGCCTGTGTCCACAAACTGGTAGCTGGAACTGTTGCAGGGAACTGGTGCACTTACTACGCCTCGCAGCCCGCTGGCCCGAAGGGGGGTTGCCGGCGGATCGTTGCCTGCGGGCCCCTTGGCTCGGGTCTGGAGAGTTCTGCTTCCGCTTGGCGTCGCGGGCCTCCTGTCCTTAAGGGCCCCCCGATGGTCTATTCCCCCTCTCTGCTGCTTATGTTACAGATTCGGGGGACCTCGTCTGTCACTCGTCCCCTCGCGCTCCTATCCGCGTCGAATCCGTGTCGAACGCGTCGAGTCCGTGTCGAATCCACGTCGAACCCGCCTCCGCGCATAAGAAAAACGACTACCACTTGCAAGACAGGGCAGGTCCTCCCGGCTGTTGAATGCCCTTCGTGCAGGCTGCTGCAAACAGTCGCCTCCGTTATAGGAGGCTGGCAATTGTCATCATCACGTGTCTTCTTTGGGGAGGCTTCGGCACCGCCTGATTCCGAGGCTTTGCCTCCTCCCGGCCTCGTTCTGGGGCTGCGCCCCCCTTTTCCTCCCCCATCTCTGGTTAATTCAAGCTTCGCGCGGCCCACGTGGCTTCGACCCGAAGAGGTGCGCTCTCGACCCGCGAATCAAAAAAGTCTTCTTTGGGGGAGGGGGAAGGTTCGAGGAGGCAACGAAATCCCCCTCCCCCTCCCCCTCCGGCGGGCGCAGGAGGAGGAGGAGGAGGAGGAGGAGGAGGAGGAGGAGGGGGAGGAGGAGGAGGAGGAGGAGGAGGAGGTTTTGGAGGAGGAGGAGGAGGAGGAGGGATAGGAGGAGGAGAAGTAGTAGTAGGAGGAGGAGGAGGAGGAGGAGCAGGAGGAGGAGGAGGCCGACGACGAAAAGCCAGAGGAGAAGTGGCAGGAGGCGAACCAGGCGTGGGAGGGAGGGAGGCAGGCGGGGATGTCAAGGAGGAAGGTCTCGAGATCCACCAGCGATCCTCCCCCTGTTCGCCTGCCTCCTGCCGCTGCCTGCTCTCACCCACTCAGACCAAACCTTTCGATCCCGAGAGCTCCTGACTCGACGGTGCAGAAAACCTTCAAGACCCGACGGGCGGCGGCCCGTCACTTGCTGGTAGCGGAGCCGGCCCATTCGCCCCAGCAGCCAGCTCCCGCCTCCCTTGCTGCTCGCGCGGAGGGGCCAAGAAGGCTCCACGAGGCCCCCAAGGGCCCCCAAGACGGTCCAACAGGGGTCCGAGACGCCCGAAGATCGCTCCAAGATGCCCAAGACGGCATCCAACCGACACAAGAGGCCTCCAAGACGCCTCAGGAGGCCTCCAAGAGCACTCCCACGAGGGCCCCAGGAGGCAAACATGCTTGATGTTCCATTGGCTTTGGACTGATTAGCGTTGTCGCCTTTTCGGCTTCCCGACACGCCAAGACAGCTCCAGATGCCCCAAAGAGCCCCCGAGAGGCCCAAGGGACTCCCAAGAGGCCCCCAAGAAGCCCCGAGAGGCCCCCAAGAAGGCCCCCAGCTCCCAAGACGCTCCCAAAAGCCTCAGAACTGCACCCCAGACGTCCCCGAGAGCGCTTCGAAGAGACCCGACTCTGACCCACAACCCAGGCACGGCGGTGGGACAGTAGAGGTCAAAACCCCCACGACAAGCTCCAGAGCAACGACTTTGCCTCCATGCCTGCTGTCGCAACGCCTCCAGAAAAAAACCATTGCCGAGCAGCGCCACATGGGCCACGAACGCGCAGGCAAACGCCATCGACGGCACAATACGGGCCAGCGGAATGATCGAAGCGATTCAAAAACTGGAAGGAATACGCAGGAGGGAGAATGGATGGAGGGGCTTGGCGGTGGAAGGCGGATGGCACTGCCAGCATCGTCCTGACAGGGCAGAGGGCGGAGGGGGGGTTCATATTGGCTTAGACGATACGCTGCGCGCGAATCTTGCTCCTGATTCCGATGCTCTCCATCGTGCTCCGGAGAGGCCTTCCCGAGCACGGGACATCCCCGAAGTGGACGGCATAACCGGAATCCCTCCAAAAACTGCATTACATCTCTCGTCTTAAGTCGGCCATGTGTCCATCTAAAGGAGGAGTAGTCACAAATAGTCCAACAATAGTATGGGGACGATGTTTCTAGTATTTTTGACTATATTTGAATATGTTCTGACTAATGTATATTCTATTTTCGCAATCCGCCTGTAGGAGGACGTGCCCGACCTAACTCTCGTCCCATGCATGCCGCGGGCTGGGGACGGGGGATGGGCCACTCCGCCCCGTGCTCCAGATCTGAGATCCCTGCACGTGCTTGGGTGCTTGGGGAAACCAAAACGTACTGATACCGCTTCTCCCCGGACCTCTCCCGGAGTGCGTTCTGACCAGGATTTCGAGGCGACTCCAGCGGCGGCGACGAGGGCCTCCCAGGAGGCCGATGAAGGGGAAAGCGAGGGAAGGGCAGCGGTATGGGTACCTTTTCTATGGGTACCTCTTCCTCCACTGAGAATCTGGAGACCTCGCCCGAGGAGCGCCTGTGGCCGAGCTCTCCGCACCAGAGGAGCGTGCGGGAAGGCAAGTGTTGGCGTTGTTTTTAGGACGCCCGACATGGGTACGGAAAAAAAATCTAATGCCAAACAACACATGTTGTCCAAAATCGACGGCGGCGGCCGCTGTTGGGCAGGCGGCCTCTTGTCTTCAGTGAGCAACGCCCGCGGCGGCGCGGGCAGCGAGTCCGGTCCGGTTCAAAATGATCAGGAACTGCTGTTGGGCATCGTACCTCACCTTTCCGTACCCATCGTTAAAGGCTTCACGACTTCTGCCGTCCTTCGACTCGCGCTGGAGCGGCCGCGAGTTGCTCCAACTTTCCCTGGAGATCTCTGGCATTACCTGGATCTGCCCAGACGCCTCTCGATCTGCCCGGATTTACCCGGATGTGTCTCAGTCTCTCTGCATTTGCCTGGCTTTGTCTGGCGCGATCCTCACAATAAGGGAACAAAAAGTGGCATAAACATAAAAACTCGGAGGTCCGCGCGGACTTCTCGGATCGGCGCTGGGGCCCGTCTGGGGGCGCCCCCACCGCCGCCCCTGGCGCGCTCCGCGCGCCAGGGAGGGGGGTCCAGCGCCCTCCTCCTCGTCCTCCTCCTCCTCCTCCTTCTCAAGAAATCCGCGCGAAGCTCCGAAAGCTCATTCTGATGTCACCGCTTGCTCCTCTGGAAGTCAGGGCCCCACAAGTCGGGGCCCTGAGGGAACCCGTTCCGATCGCCCCGATGCTCTGCCCCCCCCCCGAGGCTCCGAGGCCGACTCCTGCCGCAGCGGCCCGCGGCGCGGGCCCCACGCCCGGTGCGGCGGCGCGCTGGCCTTGGGCCTGGCGCGGGGTGGAGCACGAAGCACAGCGCGCCTCCTCCTCCTCCTCCTCCTCCTCCTCCTCCTCCTCCTCCTCCTCCTCCTCCTCCTCCTCCTCCTCCTCCTCCTCCCCCCTCCCCTGTGTGCCTCTCTGCCCTCTGCATGCCACATGCCACCCAGTTCGGCACACCCCTCACACGCTTTGTGGCCCATAAGGAACTCCACCGAAGGCCACAATGGCGACGTTCGCATGCGTCCGGCCCACCCAGTACGGCGCTTCGTGGCCCCATAGAAAGCGGAGCTCCATCGAAGGCCCAAGAGGTGACGTTCGCATGCGTCCGCCCCGCCCAGTTCAGCGTGTCGTGGCCCCTGGTCCCATCGGGCGCTCCACCGAAGGCCCCAGTAGCGACGTTAGAGTGCCCCGCTCCACCCAGCACAGCGCTTGAGGGCGCCATATGGAGCTCCAACGAACGCCCCAGTGGCGACGTTCGCATGCGTACGCACCACCCAGTGCAGCGCTTCGTGATCCCATAGGGAGCTCCCCTGAAGGCCCCAATTGCGACGTTCGCATGCGTCCGCCCGACACAGTACACATATCGTGGCCCCATCAGGAACTCCACCGAACGTCCCAGTGGCGGCGTTCGCATGCGTCCCCCCCGCCCAGTACGCATTCCGTGGCCCCGTAGGGCGTTCCACCGAAGGCCACAGTGGCGACGTTCGCATGCGTCCGCCCCGCCCCACCCAGTAAACATTTCGTGGCCCCATGGGGAGATCCAAAGAAGGCCCAGTGGCGACATTCGCATATGTCCGCCTCACCCAGTACAGCGCTTCGTGGCCCATAGGGAACTCCACCGAAGGCCACAGCGGCGACGTTCGCATGCGTCCGCCCCACCCAGTAAAAATTTCGTGGCCCCATGGGAGACTCCACCGAAGGCCCATTGGAGACGTTCGCATACGTCCGCCTCGCCCAGTACAACGCTTCGTGGCCCCACTGGGCGTTCCGCCGAAGGCCGCAGTGGCGACGTTCGCATGCGTCCGCCCAGCTCAGCACGGCGTTTCGGGGCCTCATATGGAGCTCCACCGAAGGCCCCAAAAGCGACGTTCGCATTCCTCCGCCCCGCCCATGTCAGCACATCCCTCACACGTTTCGGGGCCCCATAGGAAGCTCCACCGAAGGCCTCAGTGGCGGCGTTCGCATGCGTCCCCCCACCCGTGTCGGCACACCCCTCATGCGCTTCGTGGTCCAATACGGAGCTTCACCGCACGTCCCAATGGCGACGTTCGCATGCGTCCCCCCCGCGCATGTCGGCCTCGCCCCATTTCGGCACACCCCTCACACGTTTCGTGGCCCTAATTACAGGGCGGGGGGTATACCCAAGGCCCCCATAGCAGCGCCCGCATGGCCCCGCCCCATTTCGGCACACCCTTTACACACTTCGTGGCCCCATACGGAGATCCACCGAAGGCGATACCCAGAACGGCGATCCTCACAACTGCAAATGATCCGGTCCTTCGCCAGGAGAATTTCAATACGCGGTCCCCAGAAGAAGTCCTGACCCGTTCCCTAGGGCTCGTTTGTCACCCGAGTAGTCTTTGCTTGACGGTCTCAGGGCCTGGCGAGGGCCCCCAAGAGTCCGAACACTACGAGAGAGCCCTTCCATCTGGATCTTTCCACGACGAGCACGTCATGGCCGGGCTCTTCGGACACGGGCCCCCCGGGTGGTGCATGTGGCGCGTCCAAGATCCGATGTCGCGATGCTGTCCGAACGGGGTCCCCAAAAAGTCTCGACCCATGGACCGGTTTTTCAGCCTGAGCAGTCTTTTGAAGGTCCCGGGGCCCGGCGAGGGCCCCCCGAGGCCGAACACTGAGAAAAACTTCCGCCTTTGATTTTTGTCGATGCGTTGGATCTCTGGGATTCTGGCCTCCAAATGTATGTTGCTCCCATCGTACTCAAAGACCACATCCCAGAAATAACTTCGAGCACCCGGAAAAGTATCGAAAGAATGTCAAAACAGTGTCGGACGATTGTCTCCCAGGGCCCGACACGTGAAAACCCTCGAACTTCGGTACATGTTTCTGGTGCTCGAGATTCTTCCTGGTGGTCAAGGCTACAATAGGCTGGAACATCATAACTCCAGACGGCAGGATGGCCAGGGGGGAGGAGGAGGAGGAGGAGGAGGAGGAGGAGGAGGAGGGGAGGAGGAGGAGGAGGAGGAGGAGGAGAGAGGAGGAGGAGGAGGGGGAGGAGGGGAGGAGGAGGGGGAGGAGGAGCAGGAGGAGGAGGAGGAGGAGGAGGAGGAGGAGGAGGAGGAGGAGGAGAGGAGGAGGAGGAGGAGGAGCCGCCACCGTGCGCGGGGGGGGCGGCTTCCAGGCCCCCCTCCCTGGGCCTCGGCGCCGCCGACGCGCTGGCGAAGGCCCCGATCGATGCCGCCACGACGAGCACCGCGGAGTAGGCCCCTGGCCGCCTCCGGGGAGCTGCTGCCGATGCTGCTGCTCTCTCCTCCTCCTGGAAACTGGCGTCGCATCTGAACATATTCCTCCTCCTCCTCCTCCTCCTCCTCCTCCTCCTCCTCCTCCTCCTCCTCCTGCTACTCCTCCTGCTCCTGCTCCTCCTCCTCCTCCTCCTGACCCTCCTCCTCCTCCTCCTCCTCCTCCGGATACGGATCCATGAGGTCTCGGACATAGAAAACGCCCGCACAAAAAAATCCGTGTATGTTCCAACAGGCCTAGAGGGGGGTGTCCAAGAGGGGGGTGTCCAAGAGGGGGGTGTCCAAGAGGGGGGTGTCCAAGTGGGGGGGGTGCAGGTCATGACCGGCGGCACGTGCGCGGCCCAGCGGGGGGGCCAGGGACGCAATGAACTAAGAAGAGGCGCCGCGAAATCTGGGGAAATATCATGGCCCCCGCCATGATATCCACCCCCCACTAGTCCCCTGACCTTCCAGAGAACTACTTTTTAGCACTGGAGGCCTAAAAACCTAAAAGACACTCAGCGAAACAGCCTGAAACCAATACGTTAGAATAGCTTTGTGAGATAGGTTTTCACGTCGGGTGCTATTTTTTAGCCCTCCTGGAAGGTCAGGGTAGTCACCACCCCCCTCTCTGCCGCCCCCGAAGTATCCGAGGGCGCGTGCAGCGCCAATCCTCCGCCCTCTGCTGCGGAGCTCCCCCCGGGGGGCTTCGGCCGACCCGCCGGCCCCGTGCGCACAGCCCGGGCCCCCAATGGCCCACGCCGCGTCCGCGACGGCCCCCAAGACGGCCAAGATGCCTCCACGAGGGTCAACCCTGACCTTCCAGAGAGCTATTTTTTAGCACTGGAGGCCTAAAAACCTAAAACAACTCAGCGAACCAGCCTAAAACCAAGACGTAGAATAGCTTTGGGACAGGTTTTCACGTCGGGTGCCATTTTTTAGCCCTCCTGGAAGGTCAGGGAAGTGAGCATTTTTTTTGTGATCCGGCCTTTCGACATTGGGCGGCAAGGGAGGGGGGGAGGGGGGGGGTCTGGCTCCGGACACCTCTAGTTCGTGCGACCGTCTGGAGAAGTGCGTCCTCCGTGGGGAGGCCACACCTGCGCGAGACGGGCGCCCAAAACGGCCAAGATCCACTCGAGGGGGGGGGGGGGAGGGTCCGAGGGCCCGCGCCGATCGGCAGAACAAGGAATAGAAGACACGATCACCAAGATGGTTCAAAAGGTGGCCTCCAAGGCGGCCCCAGGACGCCTCCGAGATGGCAACGACGACCCCACGGACGTTCCGAGATGTCCTCCCGGCGGTCCGAGGAGCCCCTCGGACGACCTGGGAGAGCTTCGCGAGGATCTCCAGGATGGCATGGGACGCGCAGAGACATACTAATACTCTCTCTCTCTCTCTCTCTCTCTCTCTCTCTCTCTCTATATATATATATATCCTCCTTTGAGGCGCGCGTCCGAACCGAACACATAGTATACCCATCTTGTAGTTTCATCGTTTCCTGAGCGGTGTGGCCAGAAAGCGCCCGCCACGACGCATATACTGCAAGATTTCTCGGTGCGCGCATCTCCCCTGGGGGGGCGACGAACACACAGTATTAGTATGTCGGGGTGACGCCGATGCCAGAATCATTGATTTCCCCATGGTTTCCAACGTCTGTAGCGTCGTCGCATGTTCGGACATCCGACGCTCCAAGACGGGCCCACAGGCCCCCAAGATCGCCCCAAGACGACCCAGGATGCCCCTCAGAGGCCCGCAAGACGGCCCAAGAGGCCCCACAACAGTTCAAGACGGCCTCAACGCGGCCCCGAGACGGCCCCGGAGACCTCCCAAGACGGCCCTAAAGCACCCAAAGAGGGACCTACGACTGTCCAGTGAGGGCCCCAGACGGCCTTCCAAGGCCACGAGGCCTCTTAGACGCCCCAAGAGGGCTCCAAGCGGACCCCCAAGAGGCCCACACTTGTGATTGCCCTTCGGTGTTCAATGATTTTAGCGTTCTCGCCGGCTCGGGCATCCGACGCTCCAAGACGGGCCCACAGGTCCTCAAGATCGCACCAGGAGGCCTCCAAGAGGCCCGCGGGGCGGCCAAAAAGGGCCTTGCAAAACTAGGGGAACAAAAAGTGGCATAACATAAAAACTCGGAGGTCCGAATTTTTATGCTTATGCAACTTTTTGTTCCCAAAAAGGAGAGCCCAAGGTCGAATCGAGGAGTCGCACGGATGATCGAGGACCGACGCTCCGGTGAATGATCGAGGTTCGATGATCGAGGCTAGGTGGTCGAGGGTCGAGGCTCGATGCTAGAGGTTCGAGGACCGAGGATCGATGCCACTTTTTGTCCCCATAAAACAGCCCGCGGAGCCTCCAAGATGACACCAAGACGTCCCCAAAGATCTCCAGGACTGCCCCGAAGCGTGCAGAGGGACCCACGACGGCCCAGGGAAAGGCCCGAGGACGGCCTCTGAAGGCCAAGAGGCGCCCCTAAGAGGGCTCCCAGAGAACCTCCTCCTCCTCCTCCTCCTCCTCCTCCTCCTCCTGCTCCTGATCATCCTCCTCCTTCTCCTCCTCCTCCTCCTCCGCCTCCTCCGCCTCCTCCGCCTCCTCCGCCTTCTCCGCCTCCTCCGCCTCCTCCGCCTCCGCCTCCTCCGCCGCCTCCGCCTCCGCCTCCGCCGCCGCCTCCTCCGCCGCCGCCTCCTCCGCCGCCGCTCCTCCTCCTCGCCTCCTCCTCCTCCTCCTCCTCCTCCTCCTCCCCTCCTCCTCCTTTCCCTCCTCTCCTCCTCCTCCACTCCTCCTCCTCCTCCCCTCCTCCTCCTCCTCTCTCCTCCTCCTCCTCCTCCTCCTCCTCCTCCTCCTCCCCACCCCCTCCTCCAGGATGCCGACAGTGGGGCCCCACGCAGATCCCCACGGGACCTCGCCAGCCCTGGGGGGCTGCGAAGTGTAAAAGTGCCACCACTTTCAAGGGCTGCTGGGGGGGCCAAGGGACCTCGCCATCCCTGGGGGGGGGTGGGGCTGCGAAGTGTGAAGCTGTCGCCACTTTCGAGGGCTGCTGGGGGGGGAGCCCGCACAGTGGGGCCCCACGCGGACCCGAACGGGACCTCGCCATCCCTGGGGGGCTGCCAAGTGTGAAACTGTCGCCACTTTCGAGGGCTGCTGGAGAAGCCCGCACAATGGGGCCCCACGCAGGCCCAAACGGGACCTCGCCATCGCTTCGGGGCTGCGAAGTGTGAAGCTGTCGCCACGATTGATAGCTGCTGGGGGGCAACACAATGGGGCACTACGCATATCCAAACGGGACCTCGCCATCACTGGGGGGGCTGCGAAGTGTGAAACCGCCGCCATGTTTGAATGCTGTTTGGGCGGCCAACACAGTGGGGCCTCACGCAAGCCCAAACGGGATCTCGCTACCCCTGGGGGGCTGCGACATGTGAAGCTGTCGCCACGCTTGATAGCTGCTGGGGGGCAACACACTGGGGCACCACACAGATCCAAGCGGGACCTCGCCATCCCTGGGGGGGCTGCGAAGTGTGAAACTGTCGCAACTTTTTGAGGGCTGTTTGGGGGGCCAATGCAGTGGGATACCACACAGATCCTAACTTGATCTCGCCATCCCTGGGGGCTGCGAAATGTGAAACCGTCGCCACTTTCGAGGGCTGCTGGGCGGGGCAGCACAGTGGGGCCCCACGCAAATCCAAACGGGACTTCGCCATCCCTGGGGGGGGGCTGCGAAGTGTGAAACTGTCACCACTTTCGAGGGCTGCTGGGGGGCCAGGGGACCTCGCCATCCCTGGGAGGGGGGGCTGCGGAGTGTGAAACTGTAGCCACTGTTGAGGGGGGGCAGCACGGGGCTCTCTTGGGGCCTCTTGGGGCTCTCTTGGGAGCCTCACGGAGGCCACCTGGGGCTCTCCTGGGAACCCATAGGGGCCCTCTTGGGTCGTCTTGGGGTCCTCTGGGGGCGGCTGGGGGCCCCCTTCGGGCGCCTTGGGGCTCCCCTGGGGGCCTCTCGGGCCATCATGGTAAGATCTTGGGGACCTCTTGCACCGTCCTTGGTCGTCGGAAGCTCGAAAAGGCGATAATCCAAAACGCATACAACATTCGTAACGAAACTCAAGGTGGTTGGCCTCCTCAGGGTCCTTCTGGGGCCCTTTTTGCCCCAAAGGCCCCCAAGATGCCCAAGGAGGCCCCCAAGAGGTCTCCAAGTAACCCAAGAAGCTCCTACGTTTCCTCATCCTTTTCCTCATTATCCTGTTTCCTCTCTCTCCGCATCCGCCCTCCTCCACGTGTTCCCCGAAAGGCTTCAACAACAGCAGGGGGAACGCATGGTCGAATAACGTGGCTAAGCTTTGCCTCAGCGTTTGGCCACATAGGCGTGCCCGACAAAGCAGGGGGTGGCGGTGATTCGCCGTAGGCATTTTCGATCGAGAAACCGCGAGTGATAAAGAACGAGAGAGACAGAGAGAGAGAGAGAGAGGACGAGGGAAAGAGAGAGAGAGAGAGGGAGAGCGAGAGAGAGAGAGAGAGAGAGCGAGAGAGAGAGAGAGAGAGACAACAAACAAACAAAACACTTGCGCGCGCGAGAGAGAGAGAGAGATGAGAGACAATCAAACACTGAAAGCGTCATATGTCCCGGCGCCATCCCGTCACCATGGCACCACCGAGGCATCCCTCGGCCCATCGAGCGGGACATACGCACACAGAGAGACAGGGTCAGAGAAAGGGGGGTGCGGGGGAGGGGAGGCAGAGGGAGAGAGAGAGAGAGAGAGAGATGAGATGGCAATACAAAACATAGAGATATAGAGAGAAGGAGAAGCTCAAGGTACAAAACACACCGAGGAACAACAACACGGTGACAAAACGCACTTCTCTCCGTGCCCGCCCCCCGCGGGGGGAGCTCCGCCTGCGAAGGTTCCCCAGCAGGTCCCCCTGCGAGGCGAAGGCCTCGAGCACGAAGAAGGTCAGCAGCATGCCGCACACCTTGACGGCGTGACGGAGGGCGAAGGAGGAGGAGGAGGAGGAGGAGGAAGAGGAGGAAGAGGAGGAGGAGGAGCAGGAGGAGGAGCAGGAGGAGGAGGGGGAGGGGGCGGGAGAAGAAGGAGGGCGAATACGAGAAGGTAGGGTCATGATGCTCCAGCCTACTTTAGCCATGGTCACTAGCAGCCAAAATCGAGCACCAGGAAGGTATCGAAACTGGGGGGGATCACGTGTCGGGCCCTGGGAGGCGATACTCGTTCGACACTGTGTCGATACTGTTTGGGATGCTCGAAATTATTTCTGGGATGTGGTCGTTAATTACGATGGGAGCAACATAAGGGTAGGGGAGGATAGAGGAGGGAGCAAGGGGGGAGGAAGAAGAGGGGTCACAGACTGCTCAACCCGCCCGCCACCTTCTCCCACACCACTGCAGCAATCGCAAGGCACCGCCGAGCTTCGAACGTGCAAGACACCAGACACCGACGCGCTGGCCCCTCCGCACGCTTGGGCAACCGCTGTCGCGCGGTGGCCTGGCACACCACGAAGCGGGAGCCTGGTGAACAGATGTTGTCTTTCGCTGTCAATGTTGAAGGGGAACTGGGACACACAATTAAATACACACAAACAAAAGGATTCCTCATGCTTTGACATATGTTCTGGGTTTTTGTCTCCCCCCCCCACTTCCCATATTTTCCCATATTTTCCTGGGGATCGACGATTCATTGTGTCTGTGTGTTTCTTTCCCTCCTGAAATGTGCTCCTCCTTCTCCCCCCTTTCCCGCCCCCGCCCCGTCCCTTCGCGGCCGCTCGCCCCCCCTCCCCCCAGGAGGCCCCCTCTGGAGCCGGAGGGCGCGCGGCGAAGAGTCCCTGAGCGTGGCCTCCAGCCCACCACCCCCCATCGATGCCCCCTCACGTCCGCCGCTCCTCGCTGGGGCCTCCCGAGCCCCCCCCCCCTCCCCGCACTCCCAGGCCTAAGTCGGGCGTGCCCCCCTGCAGGAGGCTTTCCGGCGGAGGATGAACAAAATACGCAACAAATATTCCCAACTGGTCAAAAAATACTCACAAAAAAATCCCCTGACTATGTTTTGACTATTTTTGGATATTCCTCCTGTAGAGGGGCCCGCCTTAATCCCAGGCCGAGGCCGTGTGGCCGCCGTGGCGCCCGGACCCCCGCGGGAGCCAGGGTACGCGCGCGGCCTTGGGCCCCGAAGCGCAGTGAACTTGTCTGGCTGAACTTCCAAAGATCGCAGATCTGGCCTTAGGTCGGGCCTGTCCCCCTACAGGCGGATTTTCGACGAGAAATAAAAACACACACGAACAATTCTCAAAAGATGCCAAAACAAAATCTCCGAAAATGGTGCCCAGACTATGTTTTTGAGTATTTTTGGATTTTCCCCCTGTAGAGGGACAGGCCCGACTTAATCTGGCCCGAAGCATGTCCACTGCAAGTGCTCTGCGCGGCGGATGGTGCGAATGCAGCTTCATGGTGATGACCCTGTCCCCGAGCACAGGCCGCGCCTGCGTCAGCGAATACCGCAGGGTGTCGAGGTACTTGACGATGCCAGCCGCCAGCCAGGACCGCGCCAGCACAGCGCCGAGCACCAGGAGAGTCCGTCGGTCCCAGCCCCTCGTCGGCTTGCAGAGGGGGGGGGGCGAGGCGGAGAACAGTACGAGAATGCTGTCATGATAGAATTGGCTCAAGACACTCTCCAAGCTTTGGTTGCGATCCAGCGGCCCTCGTTTCTGCAGCCCGTGTGGACCGTTAGGAACTGTGGGAAATCTTGAAGCATTGCAAGTCTGGGGACGTATCAGCATCATAACCTCTTGCTCCTCTGAGAGGAGGAGGAGGAGGAGGAGGAGGAGGAGGAGGAGGAGGAGGAGGAGGAGGAGGAGGAGGAGGAGGAGGACACGAGACCCACCGAACATCGGATATCAGACCAGCAGCGTCGCCAGCGAGGGAGTCGCAGATGGACGCTGCAGTGCCAGGCGTGGGGGAGCCCGAAACAGATCGGCAAAAACATGGAAGTACACAGCCAGAAAGGACGACAAGAGCCCCACCAGGAGGAGGACACAGTCCAGGCGTGGGCTGCCAGGCAGCTCAAATATGTACGCGAGTCCGAAGGACCATCTCCTCCTCGTCCTCCAAATCCCCGCCTTGACAATTGTGCTGGGAACTCCAAAAAGCCAATCTCCTTCTCATCCTCAAGCTCCCCGCTCTAACATGCTCACTGGCGCTGTGGGCCGCGCGCGTGTCCCTCCTTCTCCTCCTCCTCCTCCTCCTCCTCCTCCTCTTCCTCCTCTTCCTCCTGGTCCTCCTCCTCCTCCTCCTCGGCCTCCTCCTCCTCTTCCTCCTCCTCCTCCTCTTCCTCCTCCTCCTCCTCTTCCTCCTCCTCCTCATCCTCCTCCTCCTCGCCTGTGACACGATTCGGGCGTTGGCAGAACTGGGTTTAGTGAAACCTGGTTTAATGAGTTGTACCGGGGGCGCCCCCCGCCCCATTTCCACTAACCGGACCTGCCGTCACCCAAAAAACACCAGCTACGGCAAACCTGGTTTAGTGAATCTGGCCAATTGAGGGGCCCCAGGGCCCTACCACCAATCGGGTCCCCTTATCCAGGGTCCTGGCTATACCCGAACGATGCCCGTCTTGAGCCCCGAGTAGGTGTTTCACCGGCTCACCTTCCAGAGCCCACAAGCGGGAGTTTGGGAGGTGGAGGGTCCCAAAGCGGGCTCTCAGGGCGCACGCCCAACCCTGAGATGTGGGACGCATTTTGCACCCAGAAATACATATAACTCCCCAGCTTGACCGTCAACCCGTTGCGGAAGGGATGTTTCCCAAGCAGAAGGAGCAATTCACAAATGGAAGGAGCCAGATTCCAACTCGCGCAGGGCGCTACACAACCGAATCAGACATAATGTTACAACGAAGCGTCAGGCAAGAGCCCAATGTGATGAGAAATGCTGGTTGGAAAAACCTCCTTCTGGTTGTAACATGGTAGTTGCATGTGTGACAAAACTGTTCGCCCCCAACCACCCGTGAGAAGGGGGGTCACAGTGGAGTCTGCAAGGACTCCCAACTTCGCGCTTCGCGCTGCGCGAAGCGCGAAGTGCGAATAACTCCGCGCTCTCGCGCCGCCTCCCAGGGGAGAAGAGGAGGATGAGGAATCGGAGCCGAACCGCGAAGCGCGAAGCGCGAATAACTTCGCGCCCTCGAGGGCGCCCTTGAGTCTGGGATCACCCCGCTGCTGCCCTACCCCGTTTCCCCCCCCCCTTGCCTTCCTTCCCCTTCTGGGGACGCAGGACCTCCAGAGCTCCCGAAAGAAACTGTCCCGTTCAAACGAGCGCACGGGTGGCTCATCTCGCGTCGACGCGGACGTTGGTTTCTGGAACCGCGCTGATCCATCAATCTTGAACGATCACCCGTGATCGCTCCAGACTGACCCACGATCTCCGACCAGGACGATCGATCAATCTTGACCGCCAACCAAAACTGACCAGCTATCTCCGACAGCGCTGGCCGTTCAAGCCTGCCATGGACCAGGCCACCGGGGTGCCCTCCACTCTGAGCTCCCGCGCCCGCGTGGCGGCCTCGCCGACGCGTCGTGAGCTCACCGCTCGTCAAAGTCCCTCACATCAATGATTGCAGCTTCAGCCCCGATCCCATCATATTTCCGAGCAGCCTGGCCTGAGCAGCACCGAGAGGGGGCGCACAGAGACAGGCTGAAACGCCCCGGCGTCAACCATGGGCTCCAGCACCAGGCTGGACACGAGCGCCGCGAAGAAGGCGGGCACCTCCAACTGCGTCTTGCGCACCTGAGGCGGCCCTCAACCAGCTCCAGCAAGGGCTAACGGATCGGGGGCGGGAGGAGAGAGGAAGCGGAACGGAGGACGGAGGATGTATGATGATGAGGATGAAGGAGGAGAGCGGAGAGGGACAGGGCGGGAGTGGGCGGGAGTGGGGCGGGAGTGAGACGGGAGGGGGCAGGAGTGAGAGCGGTGAGAAGGCATCATCGAAGGCCCCTGGGCGCCAGGAACGAGACTCGCCCGGCCGGCCCGCCCTGCTTGAGGAGCCTCTCCTGGGGAGCTGGGCAAACGTATAGCCCAGTACAGGGTCATTCCGCTCCGCCTCGAAGGAGCCACACCCCAGCTGGGACCCAGAAGATGACCACCTACCAAACCACCCCAACCCAACCCGAAGACCCGAATTTCGGAAATCGAGGGTAAATTTGAGCCTTCGGGTTGGGTTGGGGTGGTTTGGTGGGCGGTGAGAAGACAGCGTCTCTTACAGAGGGGGCTCGACTTGGAGAAGAAAGCGCCCACCTCGCCACCTGCTCACGTACCACCCGCGCCTCGCCTGCCCCCCTCTGCCGAATGTGGGGGCGCGGGGGCGGTGGCGAGGACGAGGACGTTGGCACGCACGTCTGCTGCGCTGCCTCGCAAATCTCACGCATCGGCACAAGATTGTGCCGGGGCGCCCGTCAGACACGCCAGCGACAGCGCTCCCCTCAGGCCGTCGGGGGGCGAGGACGGAGGAGGAGGAGGAGGGCCGGTGTAAACCCAAGAGTCGTTAAAGATGTTGGAACAAACCCTCCCTCCACACCCCCTCTTTATAGGCCCCTACAACGGTTCACTTCCACCGAGGGAGCTGCCTCGTGGGAACGCCTCCGTTAGAAGACCCTGAACCATGCCAAAACATTGTTCTCGGGATTCCAACGCCACGGGTCGACCTGACTGTTGCGTGTTGACGATCCTGACTCGTACCAGAACGCCATTCCTGGGACTTCAACACCGCTGATCAACGTTACTGCTGCACCGTCATAATCCTGAAGTCTTGCAAAACATGATTTCTGGTACGCTGATCATGTGAATCCGTGAAACGCTTGCAATTTTCACATCGAATGTGCACGTCGCTGAGGCGAGAACCACGTTTTGAAAAGGAACTGCCCTCAATCCGCGAAGCTCTTTCAAATTCTAACAACGAATGACATTCGTTGTGCACGTTCAATTCGAGATGACATTCATTGCCAATCGCCTCGGCGCCGCGCACATTCAATGTGCGCGGCGCTAAGGCGAGAGCCAAACATTTGAAAACGACCCGCCCGCAATCAGTGAAACTCTTGCCGTAAAAAATGCGCAACGCTACGGCGAGAGACACATTTTGAACACGACCCGCCCTCAATAGGTGAAACTCTTGCGAACTTTTACAACGAATGTACGCGGCGCTAAGACGAGAACCACATGTTGAAAACGACCCAACCTCAATCCGTGAAACTCTTGCAATCCCACCAACCCTCTGGGCGTCGGTTGTTTAGAGCGTTTCCTCTTCCACCCCTCCTTCTTCTCCTTCGGGGAGGGGTTTACCCCTCCCCCTACCCCCTCCCCACTGACCTGGACAGGGGGGGGGGCGGGTAGTTAGAGCGTCCAAGATGGCCCAACACGGCTCCAAGAGGGCCTCAGGGAGCTCAAGATGACCTCCAATATGGCTCAAGATAGCGCAAGATGCCTCAAGATGGTCCCCATGATGTTCCAAGACGCTCCAAGAGCTTCCCAAAACGGTTCCAAGTACTCACAAGAGCATCACTAGGATGCCTCCAAGAGGCCAACATGCTTCAAAACCCTTAGGAAAATCTATGTTTTTGGTGTTCTCACTTGTTCGCTTGCGATGCACATCCGAGGCGTCAAAATGGCTCTAAGATGGCTCAAGATAGCTCCAAATGGGGCCCAAGAAAGCCCCAAGGCGGCGCCAAGAGCGGCAACGAACGCTCCAAGAACACCACAAGAGGGGTTCAGGAGGCGATTTTAAAAGGCTCTACAAGGGCGACGCTAAAAATTGCTTCCGCTTTCTTTGCCAGATCCCCTCCAACATGGCTCTACCAGCGACTCTGAGGCCTCCAAGAGCGCTTCAAGAGCGCCCCAAACGACGCCCAAGAGGCCCCCAAGAGGCTCACAAGGTCGTCAAAGATGGGCCAAGACGGCTCCCTGAGAGCCTCGGGAAGCCCAAGACACCTTCCAAGATGGCTGACGATTGCGCGACCTGCCTCAAGATGGCTCCGACGATGTTTCAAGACGTTCCAAGACTGCTCCAAAACGATTCCAACAGGCTGGCTCCAGATATCGCAACCTGCCTCAAGATGGTTCCGAAGATGTTCCAAGACGCTCCAAGACCGTCCCAGGACGATTCCAAGTGGCCATATGAGCTCTCCAGGATCCCCTTCCCCCTCGCCTACCTATTATTCCTCCTCCGTCATCCCCCTCCCCCTCTTTCTCCTTTTTCCACATCTTTACAATGTGTCCCATAATTCTCTTTTTCTGTTCCTTATCCACCCTCCCGCCCCCTTTCTCTTCCTCTTCCTTTTCCTTGCTCCTGGGGGGCGAGCCAAGTTGAGGGACCCTCCTTCGTTGATCGATCTCCTCCTAAATGGCTCCAAGAGACGCCTTGGACTCTCCTCTTGGGCCCTGCGCGCGGGCGGGCGGAGCGCCGCCCGCCCGCCCGCAAGGCCCAAGAGCCCACCAAACCGTTCGAAGATACCTCCAAGACGCCACCAGGGAGGAGGAAGAGGCGGATGAAGAGGAGGAGGAGGAGGAGGAGGAGGAGGAGGAGGGGGAGGAAGAGGAGGAGGAGAGGGAGGAGGAGAGGAGGAGGAGGAAGAAGGCGGAGGAGAAGGAGGAAGAGGGGGAGAAGAGCAGCTGCCGATCATCGGCGCTCTTCGTTCGAGTGCCTGGTGTAGGATGGGCTGGTGGGGATACGCGAAGCGTCAAGAATTGTTTAAACTGACTGTGCGCGGTGCTAAGGCGAGAGACACATGTTCAAAACGACCCGCCCTCCATCTGTGGAACTGTTGTCACGTTTCAAGCTTCAGGGTAATAAATTGTGGGGACGTCTCAGGCGAAACGCCCGGCCCGCCCTAAAAACTGGCCTCGGGGTGCGACAGGGAGAGGTTACCTATGAGGAGAAGGAATGGAGGAGGAGGAGGAGGAGGAGGAGAGGAGGAGGAGGAGGAGGAGGAGGAGGAGGAGGAGGAGGAGGAGGAAGGAACAACGAGGAGGGGGATCTGGGAAGGAGAGAAGGAGAGAGGGAAGCAGGGGGGAAGAGGAGGAGGGGAGGAGGGAGAGGAGGGAGGAGGAGGAGGAGGAGAGAGGAGGCGAGGAGGAGGAGGAGGAGGAGGAGGAGGAAGAGAAGGAGGAGGAAGGGCAGGCACAGAGGGAGACACCGGGCCGCGGGGCTGCCGGATGGGAAGGGCGGGGCGGGGGCTTCGGCTGCTCCCCGCGTCTCCGCCGCCAGGCCGGCCGCCGTGCCCAGCGCGGCGCTGCCCAGCATGCACAGCCACCCCAGCGCGAGCGGGCTGCCGAGCGGCGCGTGGGGCGCGCACGCCGCGGAGGCCCGCCCGCCATCGCAGCCTGCTGGGCCGACCCGGAGGAGGAGGAGGAGGAGGAGGAGGAGGAGGAGGAGGAGGAGGAGGAGGAGGAGGAGGAGGAGGAGGAGGAGGAGGAGGAGGAGGAGGAGGAGGAGGAGGAGAGGAGGAGGAGGAGGAGGAGGAGGAGGAGGAGGAGGAGGAGGAGGAGGAGGAGGAGGGGGCATGCCGACTTCGGGGGCAGGGGCCCGGGCCCTTCCGGGCCCCGCCGTGCCGCCAGGGCCCGCCCGCGGGGCCAGCTGAGAGGGCACTGTGGCGGAGGCGGGGGAGGGCGAGGAGGAAGGGCACCCGCAGGAGCAGCCACGCGGAGGAGGAGTGCGTGCACTACATGAATCCTTCGGTCCGCGCTGCGGACGAGTCCTGACAGCACGCAGGGCGAGCGATGCCCGCCCACAAACGCAGGCCTCCTGGCCAGTGCGTCCTTGAGCATGCCGCCCGCGGCCCAAAAACAGCTCCTCGCGCGTCAGCTGCCGTCTTTCGACATTCAGACGCCCAAGACAGCCCGATGGGCCCTTCCAAGGGGTCTCAGATGCCCCCCAGAGGGGCCCAAGAGCGGGAATCTGAGCCCTTCCAAAAGAGTGGCATGTCGATTCCTTTCCGAAAACAAGGCCCCTAGAAACCACAAGAGGGCCCTCGAGATGCCCTCACGAAGCCCCCAGATGCCCCGAGACGCCCAAAAGGTCCCAAGGTACCTCCCCCCCAAACCCAATAGGCCCCTAGAAGGCTTGCAGGAGCCCCCCACGAGGCCTCCCAAGGAGCTTCCAAGAGGGCTCTTGTCCACGACCTGGGCATCGTGGCTGGATGGACAGGAGGCTACTAGATACCCGAACCGAAAGCGGACGCATTTAATGGAGCGGTTTCTTCATATTCCCTGCGTAACGCGGTTTGGGTTCTCTCTTCCTCTCACGGTGGGAGTCACGAGGCAAACTTAGAAAAACGGAGGCTCCCCCCAATCACCCTGCAATCCGACGCGCAGGGAACTCAAGGACGAGCGCTCCAAACGCCGCTGGAGCCAAACAAGACACCTGACCAGACTTTCCCATATTCTCCGAGGGATCGACGATGAATTGTGTCTGTGCGTGTTCTTCCCCTCCTGAATATCTCGGTGCGCATCTGCGGCCTCGCGGGCCAGCCTCCCGGACCGCGAGGCCACGTGGACACGGGGGCGCTTCTTCACGGATGCCCCGGGCGGAGCGCCTCCGGGCGGCCGCGCGTGTCCGCGGGGTCGAGCGCGCCGGAATCCCCCTCCTCCTCCTCCTCCTCCTCCTCCTCCTCCTCTCTCCTCCTCCCCTCCTCCTCCTCCTCCCCCTCCTCCTCCTCCTCCTCCTCCTCCTCCTCCTCCTCCTCCTCCTCCTCCCCAGAATCCAGATCGCGAGGGCGCTCATGTGGATACGTTCGCCGCTCATGATGGCAGCAGGGGGCCACTCGAGAGGGTGTCTGCGTCTGGGTGGGCACAGCAAGGGGCACTGAGGCTAAACCATTAGTCTGCATAGCATGGAGCAGAACTTCGGCGACACGCGACAAATCCCAGCAACTCCGTCTGACTGGCACGGTAGTGAACAGGCAACGACTGTGCTACGTTCAACGGCACGCCGAACTCTAACTCGTGTCTGCCTCAACGCCATGCGTGAGGCCCTACCAGCAACTTCTAAATGACAGCACTCGGTTGACACAGTGCTGCAGACGTGCCCCCCGAACACTGCGCAGCCCCAGGCTGAGACGTCCAGCTGCTCCAATGTTTTCGATGCGTGGGCCCCGGAGGTCTGGACCACTTCTCTAGGGCCGGTGTTTCGTCCTGAGCCGTTTCTGGACGCTCCCGAGGCCCAGCGAAGGCCCCCAGAGGCCGAACACTGGCAAAAACCGCCTGCTCCAATTTTGCTGGAGCGTCGGATCTCAGGGAAAGAGCCCCCCGAACACTGCGCAGCCTTAGGTCGGGCGTGTCCTCCTGCAGGCGGACTTTGGACGAAAATGAAGAATTAGTAAGAGCATGCTCATCAATAGTCAGACATCATAGAAAAATCATGCCCGGACATTTTTTTGCCATTTTTGAAAATTCTTCCTCTATCGGGGGCGGCCAAGAGGGGGGCGTCCAAGAGGGGGGGCGCAAATCATGGCCGGCGGCATGTGCGCGGCCCACGGGGGGGACCACGGTCGCAATAAAATAAGAAGGAGGCGCCATGAAGTCTGGGGAAATCTCATGACCCACGCCATGATATCCACCGCCACTAGTCATCCCCCCCCCTTGGCAGCCCCAAACTGTAGAGGGACACGCCCGACTCAAGCGCAGCCCCCGAGGCCTTTCTCGGGGATCTTCTGACCTGGGTCAATCCAAACCTGGGTCAGTCAGGCCTTGCAGAATCCTGCAACATCCTGCAAGATCCTGCACCCAAACCTGGGTCAATGCGGAGGACCCCGCAAAACCCTGCACCCAAGCCCGGGTCAATGCGACCCTGGCCCTGCAGGATCCTGCAAGATCGGGCGCTCTGGCTGACCCCCGTTTGCATTGACCCCCGTCTCAAGCAGGGAAACAAAAAGTAAAAAGTGGCATAAAAACTCGGAGGTCCGCGCGGATTTCTCGGATCGGCGCTGGACCCCCATCCCTGGCGCGCGGAGCGCGCCAGGGGCGGCGCTGGAGGCGCCGCCGGGGGGCCCCAGCGCCGATCCGAGAAATCCGCGCGGACCTCCGAGTCTTTTTTATGTTTATGCCACTGTTTGTTCCCCTACTTGACACGGGGGTCAATGCAAACGGGGTCCGCCAGAGCGCCCGATCTTGCAGGATCCTGCAGGGCCAGGGTCGCCTTGACCCGGGCTTGGGTGCAGGATCCTGCGGGGTCCTTCGCAGTGACCCGGGTTTGGGTGCGGACCTCCGAGTTTTTTATGTTCATGCCACTTTGTGTTCCACTATCATTACCAGCCTGGAACACATCCCTATCCCTATGTTGGGCATCGCCTCATCACGATGGCGACCTTAGGATTTCCTCAGTTTCTGAGGGTGCATCCCTAACAGTGTCATCTCCTTTTAGCGTGTCAATCTTAGGGAATAGGGATAAGTTCGAGGCTGGTGACATCAAGGCCCCCGACGTTCGATCGGCCGGCCCCAGCGCCGATCGGAGAAATCCGCGCGGACCTCCGAGTTTTTTATGTTTATGCCACTTTTTGTTCCCCTATCATGAAGGGGCCCAGGAACACACAAATTAATACACACGCAAGCAACAGGATTCCCCTATATGTTCCCATATTTTCTGGGTTTTCGTCTTCCCCCCCACTTCCCACATTTCCCCATATTGTCTTGGGAATCGACGATGAATTGTGTCCGTGTGGTTTTCCCCGACGTTCGACCGACCGGCCTGCGCCGGCCGCCGGCACGAGCGCGGGCGCCGCCGGCGGGCCGCCGGGGCCGCGCAGCGTCAGGAACCACAGCAGGCCCAGCAGCGCGCAGAGCAGGGCCCAGACCTGGCGCAGCTGGCAGCGGCGTTGGGGGGGGAGGAGGGAGGAGGGAGGAGGGAGGAGGGAGGAGGAGGAGGAGGAGGAGGAGGAGGAGGAGGAGGAGGAGGAGGAGGAGGAGGAGGAGGAGGAGAGGAGGAAGGGCAGCGCGCAGAGCAGGGCCCAGACCTGCCGCAGCTAGCAGCGGCGTTGGGGGGGGGGCACCCTGCTCCAAATCCCTTATTAATCGACCCCTCCTAAAAAACCAGACCCCCTCCAGATGCGACCTCATATTCCGGACCCCCTCTTCGATGGGGCGCCTTAATAAACCACACCCCCTCAACTCCAATCCAAAGAAAGCGACCTAATAAACCGGACCACCTTAATGACCAAAAAGGCGGCTTAAAAACCGGACCCGGGGGACGATTAGTAAGGGATTTGGAATACATGCTTAGGAGGCAACCGCTGGGAGGTTGTCGTCGGAAGGATTAATAATTAAAGAGGATTGAGCCCCAGTGGGGGGCTGTGACGCCAGGGTGGGCCCAGACCTGCCGCAGCTGGCAGCGGCGTTGCGGGGGGGTCACCCTACGAGCTCAGGAGGCAGCCGCTGGGAGGTTTGTCGTCGGAAGGATTTGTTAAAGAGGATTGAGCCCATTGGGGGGCTGTGACGCCAGGGTGGGCCTCGACCTGCCGCAGCTGGCAGCGGCTATGGGGGGGCACCCTGCGGGCTTAGGAGGCAACCGCTGGGAGGTTGTCGTCGGAAGGATTAATAATTAAAGAGGATTGAGCCCCAGTGGGGGGCTGTGACGCCAGGGTGGGCCCAGACCTGCCGCAGGGCTGGCCGAGCTAGAACTGCGGGGGGGTCACCCTACGAGCTCAGGAGGCAGCCGCTGGGAGGTTTGTCGTCGGAAGGATTTATTAAAAGGATTGAGCCCATTGGGGGGCTGTGACGCCAGGGTGGGCCTCGACCTGCCGCAGCTGGCAGCGGCTATGGGGGGGCACCCTGCGGGCTTAGGAGGCAACCGCTGGGAGGTTGTCGTCGGAAGGATTAATAATTAAAGAGGATTGAGCCCCAGTGGGGGGCTGTGACGCCAGGGTGGGCCCAGACCTGCCGCAGCTGGCAGCGGCGTTGCGGGGGGGTCACCCTACGAGCTCAGGAGGCAGCCGCTGGGAGGTTTGTCGTCGGAAGGATTTATTAAAGAGGATTGAGCCCATTGGGGGGCTGTGACGCCAGGGTGGGCCTCGACCTGCCGCAGCTGGCAGCGGCGTTGGGGGGGGCACCCTGCGGGCTTAGGAGGCAGCTGCTGGGAGGTTGTCGTCGGAAGGATTAATTAAAGAGGATGGAGCCCCACTTGGGGGGCTGCGACGCCAGGGTGGGCCTCGGATCAAGCGGGACTCAGCCGCACTGAGCGGGATTGGGCCGCATTAAGCGGGATGAAGCGGGATTACAGTCGGGGCGTTGACCTAAGGAACACTACATAAAGAACGAGGCCCCTTTTAACCATCAGTTGAACTTCGATTTCCCATCGAAAACCTACGGAATACAAAAGGCAAACTGTGAAACAATTAAGGAACACGGAGCCCCTTCCCAACGAAAAGGGTTCCTTCTTCAGGGACCCGACTGTAAGCCGGATTAGGCGGGACTTCGGACCAGGGCTAACTCAGAGTTTGACCTCCCAGGAGTCGCATCTGAATGCAGGCCTCGCGCGGCAACTTCAGGCGGGACTCATGTTCGTCAGCGGCGAGGCGGCGAGATCCGCACCGGCGTGCAGCCAGGCAGGGGCACTATAGCTAGCGAACTGGCCGGCGTGCAGGGAGGAAGGGGCCCACAAACACACAAATTAATACACACAAATAACAAGAATCCCCATATTGTTCCATATTTTCTGGGTTTCTGTCTTCCCCCCCACTTCCCATATTTTCAAATCTTTTCCTCGAAATCGACAATTAATTGTGTCTGTGTGTTTTTTCCCCTCTAGAAAGGAGGGAGGGGGGAGGCCGGGAGGAAGGAGGGACGCCCAGACGCCGAAGAATTCGACGATGAGCAGCTGGCGGGCGGCAGCAGCCAGGCGCGCAGGGCCAGAGCGCGGTGGGCGGCACAGATGGGACGCACAGAGACATACTAATACTATGTGTCTTCCTTGGAGACGCGCGTCCAATCCGAACACATAGTATACCCATGCTGTAGCATATCGTTTCCCAAGCGGTGTGGCGGACGCACGGACTAGATAATACAACGGTTGCGCGCCGCGCGAGGCCTCCAGGAAGTTCCTCCTCACGAATCCGTCCCCTCCCTGCCCCCCTTCTTCGAAACCCACTGGCTTGTAAGCCTGCGCTGTTCCCCGCTGCGGGCTCTTGGATAGGCGCCCAAGGCTGTTTCGGTGCAAACGCCATGCCATGGGTATCGGGGTGGTTTTCCTTGGGCGTCGCTTCAAGGGTGGGGCGATGAGAATGAGGAGGAGGAGGAGATGGAGGAGGAGGAGGAGGAGGAGGAGAAGGAGGAGGAACAGGAGGAACAGGAGGAACAGGAGGGAGGGATGGAGGGAGGGAGGGAGGGAGGAGGGGGAGGGAGGAGGAGGAGGAGGAGAAGGAGGAGGAGGAGGGGGAGGAGGAGGAGGAGGAGGGGTCGCCCAAGCCCTTCGGAGAAGCCCTCTGGGCACTGCGGTGCAGTGTGATTCCAGGCGCCCGCGGCCTGCCGCAGCCTCAGGGCGCCTCCTTTGAGGAGCTGCGCGGCCACGGCCGACAGGCCCAGCCCGAAGACGGGCTCCGTGACGTTCAGCACGCCCGCGCCGAGGAAGCGCACCTTACCGGCCTGGAACCTATCCCTATCCCTGTGCTGGGCACCTCCTCATCACGATGCCGATCTCAGGGACTCCCTTATTTTCAGAGGGCGAATCCCTAAGATTGTCATCGCCTTTTGGCGTGTCAATCTTAGGGATAGGGATACGTTCGAGGCTGGTAAGCACCGCGGCGAAGCGGAGCAGCACGGCGTAGGTGAAGAGCACCGAGGGGATGCAGCAGCGGCGCAGCTGCTCCACCTGTCGGGTGCCCGAGCTCTCCGGGGCAATTCCTCCTCCTCCTCCTCCTCCTCCTCCTCTCCTCCCCTCCTCCACCACCTCCTCCTCCTCCTCCTCCTCCTCCTCCTCCTCCTCCCCCTCCCCCTCCCCCTCCCCCTCCTCCCCCTCCCCCTCCCCATCCCCCCCTGCCCCCCGGGACAGGGGTAGCTCGGGTCCGGATTCCCGAAAAGGAACCCGAGTGAGCCCTGACCCGAGTTGCCCCTGATGATTTGGGGCTCTGGACGCCCGAATTATCAGGGGCAACTCGGGCCCGGGGCAACTCGTGTTCAGAATCGCCGAGGAACGAGCCCGGGTTGGCCCTGACCCGAGTTACCCCTGATGCTTCGGAGCTCTGAACCTGGACGATTCCGGAAACCCTGGACCCACAAATTGTTGCCACCTCTTGGGGGCACATCCCTTAAACCTCCGCCGCCCTCTCCGCAACCCTTCCGCCGGCGGAGGCGGCCTCGCTTTGACTTCCGCCGGCCTCCCACCGCCCTGCCGCCGCCTTCCGCGGCCGAAGAGATGGCATCTCTTTCTGTCCTCACGTCGGGCCTGTCCTCCTACAGGCGGATGTTGCGCGAAAAAATAAGCATACTTTCAAAGTACCCCCAAACAAGCTCAACGATAGTCAGAACATCGCTCCCATAGCACGTTGTAGAACTATTTTTGGGATATCCCCTCCTGTAGAGGGACAGGCCCGACTTAAGGCAAGGCCATGCTTGGAACGCCCCACCTGCAGGCACTGCTGCAGCCCGGCGCGCACGCCGTGCACCGCGCAGCACGCGGCCAGGCCTCCTGCGACCGACAGGAAGGACGCCACCAGGATCACGCTGCTGACCTGGTAGGGGAAGCGCCCCTGAGACCGAGACAGCTCCTTGAAGATCTGGTCGTTGGCATTGACCTGAGGGTTCCTCCTGCCCACGCCCCCTCCTCCTCCTCCCCCTCCTCCTCCTCCCCCATCCTGCTCCTCCTCCTCTTCCCAGATTCCCCCTTTCCACTCCCCCACCTCATCCCCCCTCTGGCCCCTACTCTAGAATAACCACTATTCCCCACCTTTGTCAGAGAAGAACCCGGAGCATGCAAATCAAACAGAAATCATAATGGTCCCAATCCGTCGATCATATGCCTTTGCGAGCGGTACAGATGGCGGTCAATACAAATTCGATACCCAGACATCGACGCCACCACACCGCGCTCACATCAACTATAAGTTGAAAAGTCATGTCGCGCTCGGTTCAACCTCGCAGCCGAAGTCGCAGTAAAAGCTGCATGACCCAAACCTTCAAGAGATCTTTCAAGAAATCATCCGACCCTTCGGTGCGCGTGGGATGCTGTCATCGTCGGCGTCGACGTCGCCCGTCCCAGGGAAATTGCGGGATAAGGAATGGGAAGGTCTTAATCAAGTATATATCCTTCCCTTCTTCCCTTCTCTGCCAGGTGTGTGTGGGAGGGGTCAAGACTCCCTCCCCGCCCGCAAGCCGTCTCGCTCACTCCCACCCGCCCTCCCAACACATACGCAGCACCCGAGCCTGGCCCGAGCCACAGCATATTCAGCAGTCGTCTTTGGATGGGCAGCCACTGGGGGCGCATCCGCCGCCGCCGCCGCCTCCGCCGCCGCCGCCGCCCGCCGCCGCCCGCTGTCCGCCGCAGCCGCTGCCGCCACCGCTGCCGCCGCCGCCGCCCACCGCCGCCGCCGCCGCCGCCGCCCCCGCCGCCGCCGCCGCCACCGCCGCCGCCACCGCCACCGCCGCCGCCACCGCCGCAGCCGCCGCAGCCGCTGCCCCCGCCGCAGCCGCCGCCACCGCCAAGTGTATTCTGCATTGTTTTTGACAGGGGTGGTAGGGGGAGGCCGCATCGGGTTCGCTGCGCATGCTCCGAATTTGGAGGCAGAGTGTGTTTTGTATTGTCTTTTACAAGGGATGTCGGGGGGGGCCCTCATTGGATCGGGTTGGCTCCCAGTCGCCTGGGGGAGGGGGCGTATATTATTGGGAACAATGATATACGGGTGGGGGGGCTTCCGGGCCGGAATGCAGCCCTAACCCCTTTTTATAACCGCCGATCCGGCGTGTAAGTTTCCGAGAGCGTGGCCTTGAGACCGCTCAAGCTTCGCTCTGCAACGGGGGGGGGACGCCATTCCCGACGCCGTTCCGTTCAGTGCTCGGGAGCTGGGAGGGGGGGTCGCTCTGCAAAGGGGGGGGGGGGACGCCATGCCCGACGCCCTTCAATGCTCGGAAGCCGGGGGGGGATTCGCTCTGCAAGGGGAAGGGGGGGGGGACGCCTTTCCCGACGCCATTCAATGCTCGGGAGCCGGGGAGGGTCGCTTTCTCTGCAGGGGGAGGGCAGGGGGACGCTATTCCCGACGCCATTCAGTGCTCGGGAGCCGGGGGGGGGTCCGCTCTGCAAGGGGAAGGGGGGGGGGGGGGGGGCGCCTATCCCGACGCCATTCAATGCTCGGGAGCCAGGGTGGGGTCGCTCTGCAAGGGAGCCCGGGGGGGGTGGGAGCCATTCCCGACGCCATTCCCGACGCCCTTCAGTGCTCGGGAGCCGGGGGGGAGTTCGCTCTGCATGGGGGGGGGGATGCCATTCCCGACGCCACTCAGTGCTCGGGAGCCGTGGACTTGAGCGCTCTGGAGGGAGCGGGGGGGGGGTCGCAACCGAAGGGGGGGGCCATTCCCGACGCCATTCCCGACGCCAGTCAGTGCTCGGGAGCCCTGGACTTGAGCGCTCTGCAGGGAGCGGGGGGGGGGGTCGCAACCGATTTCCACATGTCCATCTATCTTATGAGGACGTCTCGAACGAGAGCTGCATTTTGGACGCCCGAAATGGGTACCGAAAGAATGGGTACAATGCCCAACAACAAATGTTGTCCCAAACCAACAGCAGCCGCTGTTTGGCAGGCGGCCTTCTGTCTCGAATGGACACAGGCCGCGGCGGCGCGGACAGCGAGTCCTGTTCAGAATGAACAGGAACTGCTGTTGGGCATTGTACCCATTCTTTCGGTACCCATGTCGGGCGTCCAGATGCGTCTTTAGCATACACGGTCATCCATTCCCAGCAGCATCGGCAGCGCCCCGGATCGGCGGCACTGGCAGGAGGCCACTACACTATCTTCTCTGGCGGGCCCCCAAGGGGGGGGGGGCGCCAGCGGGGGTCCCGGGGGAGGTCCCGCCCTCAGGGGTCGGCGGCGCGCGTGCTCCCCTACGGAGCCAAACCTCCCAAGAGCCCACGAAAGTGGCGCTAGTGGCGCAGTTCGCAGCCACCCAAGGAGCTGCGAGGTCCCGTCTTCGGCTGCACGTAAGAGTGACCCTGGGCAAGAGTGACCTTTGGTGAGCTGCTTTTTGGGGGGCGCGAGGAGGCCAAACACAAGCGCGCAAGACGGTACTATCGCACCGAGCACGGCGATTGAGGGACCCCGGTGAGCGCGCACCAAAGGTCACTCCGGCGAAGGGTCACTCTTACGTGTAGCCGACGTCTGGGTGCCCGCACTCCGCGACTCCGCCGTGCCCCGCGGGAGCCCACGAGAGCGGCGCCAGTGGCGCAGCTCGAGCCCCTCGAGAGCGCTGCGAGCGAGGCCCTGCCTGGGTGCGCGTTCTCCGCGGCTCCGCCGTGCCTCCCAAGGGTCCCACGATCGCGCGCAGTCCGCAGCCACCCGGGAAGGCTGCGAAGTCCCGCCTGGGTTCGCGTACTCCGCGACCGGGCTGAACCCAGTCGGTGTTTTTCGTTTTCGTTGTATCTTCAATCCGCCTTTTCGTTGTTTCGTTGTGTTCTTCGTTGTTCGTTTTCCCTCGTTTTGTGTTCAATCCGCCTCTGCCGCCAAATGAAAGTCGAAGCGAAAACGGCCCACGACGAACTCGCCAAAAACACCGTTTCGGTCCGGCCCTGCTCCGCGACTCCGCCGTGCCTCGCAGGAGAGCCTGCGAAAAAAAAAACGCCCAGTGCACAATTCGCACCCACCCACTGGCCATCGCTCGGACGTCCACTCCCTGTGCTTTTTTTCGGTTCCGTGCGTGGCTTCTTCGCCAGATGATCAAGGATGCTCCTCGATGGTTCTCGCCCAAGGAAAAATCCACACGTCCGAGCGATGCCAGGCCCAGGGGGCTGCGAGGTCCCGTCGGGGCGCGTGTGCTCCACGGCGCCGCCGTGCCGCCAGGGAGCCAAGGAAGGGAGCAGCGCAGGAGGAGCAGTCGGCGGACGGTGCCATGAGCGGCGTCGCCGTGGTCTCTGCGGGCAGCTGCACTGGCCCCGTGCAGCTGTGGGGAGGGGGCGAGGGAGGGGTGGCGCGAGGAGGAGAAGGATACGGATTGGGAAAAGGAGTGGGTACCACGGTGCTCCACTCAAGATGAAAACCCAACACAGGGAGATTGGGAATCACGCGCGGGACAGACGGCAAGAAGAAGGGGCGAGGAAGAGAAGGGAGGCGGGAGGAGGAGGGTCGCGCAAGCAGTGCTCTATCCAAAACGAAAGCCCAACGCAAGAGGTCTGGGGACACATGGTTTCGAAGCAGTGTTTGTTAATATGCTTTGCGCGCGCTTGAGATTCGTTGTGGAAGCCATGGGCTTTCAACATGTTAATCAAATGCGACCACACGGGTATCTGACGCGTGCGCATGTCGAAATCATCTGAGCCGCCTTGCGAGCTTGCTGGGGTGGGGCGCGGTCCCTGTCCAATAACACCGTGTGGGCCACTCGCGCGCGTCGCGCGCACGTGTCGAAATCCGTCCAAAGCTTTCATCGCCGCCACGTGGACACCATCATCGTCATAAGCGTTGCGAGCATCTGCGCCGGCACTGCCCTTGCCGTCGCTGTCGTCACCATCGTCACCACGAAGCCAGGAGGGCCCAGAATCGAATCGACAAGTCGAATCGGCGGTCGAAGTGAATCGAACTGGCGGAAATCGGCAGCCAAGTCGGGAGGAGTCGAATCGGCGGACGGACATCGGCAGAGTAGTTAGGCCTCCTCGAGAGATCGGAGTCCTGATCGGAAAACGAAGTCGAATCGAGTCGGAATCGGAATGTATCGAAATCGAATCGAATCGACTCGGAGGAATCGAAACGAGCCCTGTGAAGCTGCGTCTGCCCGAATCACCGACTCGCACTGAGGTGCCCGCGCGCCAACGCGGCCTGTGACACGCGTTGGGAGGCCCCCCGAGCGTTAGGTCGGGCATGTCCTCCCAAAGGCGGGCTCTGGACGAAAAACAGAAAAAGAGCCCAACAATAGTCAAACGCAGTCGAAAAATAACAGAAAAATGGTCCCCTGACTATCTTTTACTATTTTTGAATACTCCTCCTGTAGAGGGGCATGCCCACTTGACCCCAGCGGTCAGCTGGCCGCTGTGCGCGCGAACCCGCGCGTCAGAGCCCGCGCGGCCGCAGAGGTGCGCCGCCCCGCGCCAGGCACCCCTCGCAGTCGTCGCCGCCACGCGGGCCCTGCAAGCCAAGCTGCGGGCGGGCGGGTGGCACGGCTGCGCGAGCAGTGGATCAAGATGCCCAATGACACGTACATAAATTCACACCAATCCCAGGATTCCATGTGTTCTCACATCTTTTCTGGGTTTTTCGTCTTCCCTCCCACTTCCCATATTTTCCCATCGTTTCCTGGGAGTCGACGATGACTTTTGTCTGTGTGATTCTTTCCCTCCTGAGTGGAGCTGACCACTCCAACATCTGCAGAATGAGTGAGTTCTCCCTCGTGGGGGAAAGCGAGAAGACCGATCGCCCACCCCGGGGGCCCACGCGCCGATCCGAGAAGTGCGCGCGGAGCTCGGAGGCATGATGTTTAGGGGGAGGAGGGGGAGGAGGAGGGGGAGGAGGGGGAGGAGGAGGAGGAGGAGGAGGAGGAGGAGGAGGAGGAGGAGGAGGAGGGGAGGAGGAGAGGAGGGGGAGGAGGAAGGGGAGGAGGAGGAGGAGGAGGAGGAGGAGGAGGGGAGGAGGGGGAGGAGGAGGAGGAGGGGGAGGAGGAGGAGGAGGAGGAGGAGGAGGAGGAGGAGGCTCTGATCTGTTGGTGCTGGTTGTGGCGGTCGTGAAACGCAACTCGGCCGAGGCGCCGGGGAGCGGACCAGCACCAGCACCGCCAGCATCGCCGCCAGCGCGCCTGGCGGAGGCTGCCGCTCATGGTCGCCCTTGGCGGGCTCGGTCTCCTCCACGCCCCCCTCGGTCCACACCTGGGAGGGAGAAACTCTCATGGGAGCAGCTGGGCCACGGGGGGAGTCCGCGGGAGCCCAGGGGAACGTCTAGAGAGGGCTCTGGGAGACCCCACGACAAGCCAAAGGACGAAGACCTTGCAGCAACCATCTCCATCCTCGATCCTTCATCCTGGCTCGTGGCGAGAGGGAAAGGTAACGATAGTGGGGGACTGGCTCAAGGGGATAAACATCGACCCGGAATCAGCGATACCTCGCCGAAAGGTCGGCGATTGCTGGTCCCCTGATAGAGCGAATCCGCACGCTCCTGGGCGGAGGTGGGCTAATCATCAGGCCCCTGTCGACGGTGGATGGGCGATTGGGTGTAGGTGCATCTCCCCCCCCGAGCCCGTCCCCTCGCCTGGCGTTGCCCCCGATGTCTCCGCGTCGGTTCTCTGGCCCTGGCTTGGCTCTCCAGCGGCAGTCCAGGACGCTCTGGGCACTCCCGGAACGCTCCCGACGATGCGCAGCTGCTGGAAGACAGCCCGAGGCCAGAAAGCCGCTAAGAACTGGCGAACACGCCCGAACACCTCGAGCCTTCATCTGGGTGACCCAACAGGGGGTCCAGCTGCAAGGGGGTGGTGCAACAGAATTGGGGCAATTGCATTGCAAATGTATTGCGCAGGAGAATTCACTTGCATTGTATTGCAAGTCATGTATTGCACGCCAAAATCCAGCGATACATTTGCGCCCCGGAATGTACTGCACGCCCCAGATGTATTGCAACCCCACGAATCTATTGCACCTAATTAACCTATTGCACCACTCCCTTGTCGCTGGACCCCCTTCTGGGCCAACCCGACTTAAGCCCGAAACCCTGAGCCTGTCTCCTCCTGTCGTCTCCCCTGAGAGCACGGCGAGGAGGACCCCCCCCTTTGGTGTCTGTTCCATGGGAGCCCACGCGGCCCCGGCACTCCCCGATTTGGGCCTCATTATTGGACTGGATCTGCAACCTCTTCTGCACCAGGATTGGAGCGGACCCACCCCTTTTCAGAAGGGGAGCAAGGAGGGGTGGGATGAGGGGGAGTAGGCGGAGGAGGAGGAGGAGGAGCAGGACGAAGAGGAGGAGGAGGAGGAGGAGGAGGAGGAGGAGAAGGGGAGAATGAGGGAAGGAAGGGCCACGAGGAGCAGAAGCAAAGGCCAAGTGCGGTTTCAGAAGCTGCCCCAATGCGGGGGAAACCGATTTTCGGCGTCGCCGCCCAGGGATCCCAGGAACAGGCACCGAACCCGTCCTCCCTCCTCCTTCTCCTCCTCTTCCTCCTCCTCCTCCTCCTCCTCCTTCTCCTCCTCCTCCTCCTCCCCCGCCTCCTCCTCCTCCCTCCTCTCCCATCCTCCTCCTCCTCTCCTCCTCCTCCTCCTCCTCGTCCTCGTCGTCCTCTCGTCCGTCGTCTCGTCGTCCTCGTCGTCCTCGTCGTCCTCGTCGTCCTCGTCGTCTCTCGTCGTCGTCCTCGTCGTCCTCGTCGTCGTCGTCGTCCTCGTCGTCCCGTCGGCCTCGTCGTCCTCGTCGTCCTCGTCGTCCTCGTCGTCCGCCGTCGTCATCCATTCTCCTCCTCCTCCTCCTCCTCCTCCTCCTCCTCCTCCTCCTCCTCCTCCTCCTCCTCCTCCTCCTCCTCCTCCTCCTCTTACGCGGTCCAGGGATCCCAGGGACAGGCATCTAGCCCCTGCGGCACCGGCAGCGGCCGGTGCTCCGGGGCCTCGGCCCGCTGGCGCATGGGGCCGCGCGAGGCGGCCGCCGCGCACAGGGGCGCGCGGGGGGCGGCGGGCCCCGGGGCAGGCTCCGAAGAGCAGGGAGGGGAGGAGAGGGGAGGAGGAGGAGGAGAGGAGGAGGAGGAGGAGGAGGAGGAGGAGAGAGGAGAGGAGGAGGAGGCGGAGGAGGAGAAGGAGGAGGCGGAGGCGGAGGCGGAGGAGGAGGAGCAGGAGGAGGAGCAGGAGGAGGAGGAGGAGGAGGAGGAGGACCAATGGAAACCTAAGAATCCTCAGCGATGTTGGAAGAAACCCTCCCCCCAAGCTCCTTCTTCGCAGGCCCCTACAACGGTTCATTTCCATTGAGGGAACTGCCTCGTTGGAAGACAACCGTTTGAAGATCCTGAAGCGTGCCAGAACACTGTTCTCGGGATTTCAACGCCACGTATCAGCCTGACTGCTGCGTCTTGACAATCCAGAATCGTGCCAGAACGCCATTCCTGGAACCTCAACTCCGCGAATCAGCATACATGTTGCACCCGCATAATCCTGAATCCTTCCAGAACACCACTTCTGGTAAGTTGATCATGGGAATCCGTGAAACTCTTGCCAATGTTGAGAACGAATGTGCGCGGCGATGAGGCGAGAGCCACATATTGGAAAGGAACCGCCCTCAATCCGTGAAACTCTTGGAACATTTGATAGCAAATGTGTGCGTCGCTAAGGCGAGAGCCACATGTTGAAAAACACCCGCCCTCAATCAGTGAAACTCTTGCAAATGTTTAAAACGAATGTGCGCGGCGCTAGGGCGAGAACCACATGATGAAAACCACCCGCCCTCCATCCATGAAGTTCTTGCCAATGTTTAAAACGAATGTGCGCGGCGCTAAGCGAGAGCCACATGTTGAAAACCACCCGCCCTCAATCCGTGAAATTCTTGCCATTTTTGAAAACGAATTCACGCGGCGCGAAGACGAGAGCCACATGTTGAAAACCACCCACCCTCAATCCGTGAAGCTCTTGCAAATGTTGAAAACGAATGTGCGCGGCGCTACAGCGAGAACCACAGTTTGCAAGCGACCCACCCTCAATCCGTGAAAGTCTTTGCCAATTTTGAAAGCGCATGTGCGCGGCGCTGAGGCGAGAGCCACATGTTGTAAGCCACCCGCCTTCCATCTGTGACGTTATTGCCACTTTTTCAAGCTTCAGAAAGTGGCCAAGGATGAACCGAGGAGGCACGCAAAGCACCATTGGGAAGGTTGCCCATCTTTACCGTGCGGGTTGACTGTATGGTCACCGCGACGCAGCAGGCGTGGCGCCTTGGGCATCCCAAGGGGGTGTAGCCGCCAGGGCAAGGGGGCACTCGCCCGTTCGCGCCACAGCTTGTGGGGATGTCCCAAACGGGATGCCTGGTTTTGCCCCCCCTCCCTCCCTTCCGTCCTCCCGTCCTCCCTCCTCCTCCTGCTCCTCCTCCGTCCTCCTCCTCCTCCGCCTCCTCCTCCTCCTCCTCCTCCTCTGCCTCCTCCTCCTCCTCCTCCTCCTCCCCTCCTCCTCCTCCTCCTCCTCCTCCTCCTCCTCCTCCTCCTCCTCCTCCTCCTCCTCCTCCTCCTCCTCCTCCTCCTCCTCCTCCTCCTCCTCCTCCTCCTCCTCCCCCTCCCCCTAGAGGGACGAGGGAGGCAGCCCACGGGGCACGGACCACCCCAGGACACCCCACGAGGCCCCGCAGAGGGCTCGTTGGGCGCCCAGGGAAGCGCACAGAGGGCCCCCGAGAGTTGAAGGTCGCTGGGGGGGGGGCAGCGTTGTTTCCAGGGCCAAATCCCCGTACGCTCGGCGGGCGCGCTTGATCGGTCAACGGCAATCCTTACCGCAACCCTTCGCGAGAAGCTCTGATTTCAGGTTTGCTCTTTGGGCTGCTCATGCTTGCTCTTGCCCTACAGAAGCACTGCCCTCTCCCCCGTCGCCCCAGAAACACGGATCGCGTTCGCTGCCCCTCAGCGAGCTTCAACCCGAGAGGACCCACACGAGTCTCGAGAGGCCCCCAACAGGATGCCTCGAAGAGGCCACACACGGCAAGTCGGCGGGATGGGCCGCAGGCCAGTCGGTATTTCACGAGACAACTGCGCACTGGCAGCGTGGCGGTCCTCAGTCCTACGGAGGTGACCCAGCATCAGTGACTGGTTAACCTGGCCTGGCATTGGACCACCAAGCTGTGCGCACAGTGTCTGCGAACAGCACAGGATCGCATCAGCTCAGCAGTACGGAGAGCTGATGAACGTGCTAGTGCATAAACTCCCGACCTCAATATATGCAAGGCAAGGATATATCCGGATCTACAACATGTTGAACCGACGTCCTGAGACCCCTGCGGGTAGTGGATATTGGAAGATTTGGGCCCCAGGGGGTCCGAGTATATCGGTATGCGCCAACTGCCGAGGTCCTCAAATATCGACCCCCCAGGCGGTGGTTCTGGATTAATCCCCGCCTCGGAGCAGATCAGAAGGGACCCCTTGCTGCAGTGGGCCTTCATACATACGGCCTCCTGAACTGCATACTTGCTTACGTTCCCTCGTCTTGCGCGCAAATCCCTCCCCAGCACAGGGTCCAACTTTTCTGCCAGCGTGCCTCGAGGCACGAGGTGGAGTGTCCCCGAATCCCGTAGAGTCCCGTATTCAATGCGTTGCAGACGGCCCAAGCGAAGGAGGCCCCAAACAAGGCCCCAAGACATCCGAAGAGGGCCCCAAAACGTCCCAAGAGACCGCCAAAACCGTGCAAGAGGGCCCCAAGAGGGGGAACACGAAATGAAAATTCCAGCTCTCCGTCCAAATAGGAGGCCCAACAAGCAAAGACGCCCTCAAGAGATTCCTGAGAGCCTTCCAGGAGGCTTCCGCGAGGCATCCCAAAGACATCCTTGTACGATCAACTGTGCACCCACGAGGCCTCAAGTACAGTATCCAAGCCTGGTGGCGAGATGGGCAATTGGCGACTAGATCCGCCGCCCCGTTTTGCTTGCCTGGAACAACCAGCTTCCGTCGCTGTTGCCGCTTCTGCCGCTCAAGATGGCCCAAGAGGGCCTCCACAACGGTCAACACGCCCCCAAGATGCCTCCAAGACGGCTCAAGATACCTCCAAGATGGCCCCGAGACGAACCAGACTGCCCAAGATGAGCTCAAGATGGCCTGAAGACGGCCCAAGAGGTTGGGTGTTTGAGTGTATGTTTCGCGTGCTCGCCTTTTCGGGCTTCTGGCAGCCGAAGACGGCCGCAGGGGCCTCCAAGATCGCACCAAGACGGCCCAAGAAATCTCCTAGATGGCCTCCAACACTGCCGAGATGGCGCAAGATGCCCCCACCATGCTTCCAAGACAGCTCAACATACCTCCAAGATGGCCCTAAGACGGGCCAAATGGCCCAAGATGAGCCCAAGACGGCACATGTCCTCCAGGAGGCTCTGACGGGGATCCCGGCGAAAGAATTGTGTCGCATATGTTTTTGCATGACGTTTGCGCTCTCGCGTTTCAAGCATCAGGCAGCCGAAAACTGCCCTGATGGGCCTCCAATATACCCCCAAGACGGCCCAAGAAGTCTCCGAGATGACCTCGAAGACTGCTCACGATACCTTCCACATGCCCAACATAGTTCCAAGACGGCTGAGCCAGCCAAGGGTGAGCCAAAGACGGCAGAAGACGGCCGTAAGACGGCCCAAGAGACGTCCGAGAGGCCCCCTCATGAGGGCCCGAAGATTTCAAAATCACAGCAGCTCGTATAAAAGTCATTGATTTCTGCGTTCTCGCCAAGGCCCCCGACAGCCGAAGACTGCCCCAAGGGGCCTCCAAGATGTGCCCAAGATAGCGAAAGAGGCCTCCGAGAGAGCCTCGAGACGGGCCAAGAGACCCCGAAGACGGCTTCAAGAAGGCCCCGATGACAGTGCAAGATACCTCCATGACGGCCCCCCATGGCAGCGCAAGATACCTCCACGACGGCCCTACAGCACCTCAAGAAGGCCCCGCGACAACCCAGACAGGCCACCAAGACGGCCCCCGACTGCGTCAGACGAGCCAAGAGGGCTCCAAGACGGCCCAAGAAGCAGCCCCGAAGATGACCCCAAGAGGCCCCCCAGAGGCTCCAGCAGGCCCCCAAGCGGCCCTTCAGGGGCCCTCGAGAGGTCCCCGGCCGCCTCCTCTTCCTCCTCCTCCTCTCTCTTCCATCTCTTCCTCCTCCTCCTCCTCCTCCTGCTCCTCTTCCTCCTCCTCCTCCTCCTCCTCCTCCTCCTCCTCCAAGTGCTTCCCAAAGGGTTTCCGCAGCGGCTGGGGGAACATCTTGTCCAACAGCTTGGCCTGACTTTTGCCAAAGGTTTGGCCTCACAAGTGATTCCAGGAGCCCGCGCTGACATGGTCCCGATCCATCGCAACATTTATTTCGGGCAGAACGGGATGCGCCACTGCTTGAGTCGGTGGCTGCTGTGACTGCTTGCTGTCGATTGCGGATGCCTGCTGCTGCTTGGCGCTGCTTGTTGCTGCATGCTGCTGAGTACTGCTGCGCGCTGCTTGCTACTGCATGCCGCGGCTTTCAGTCGCGCGGACCTTTCTTCGCGCCTATGACGCGCCTATGAGAGCACCAAAGGAGAGTTCCCCCCATCATCCCGACAATGTTTCCGGGGACCAGGCTCAATCACAGTTGAGCGCGCTGTAGATCGATTGTCGGCCACACGTGCATTCCTCAGAATGGCAGGGGGGCAGCGGTGATTCCCCAGAGGCGTCTTCCATCACCCCTGCTGGGGAAAAACATGTTGGAACAACGGGAAACACGCAGCCTGTAGCTCTGCGGTCGACCGTGCGCTCTTGTGTACCGCATGTCAACATGCGTCTGCAGTCATGCGACTGCTCGCTGGCCCAACGGGCCAGAGACGTGCACGCATCTCCTGCGAGAGGTTGATCATGCCTCTAGTGTCCAATTCGCGCGCGCGGGGCGGCCCCAGGGGTTCCCCGACGAGAACTGCCCCGTCAAGGTCCCGGCAGACTCCTGTCAGGGTGGGGTCGGAGGTGGTGCTCCTCCTGGGCGCGGCCAGGCCCACGACCTCGGGCCAACACAGCGGCTCAAGATGGCCTCAAGACGGCTTGGGCCGCCTCCGAAACGCCCCAAGAGGGCTCTGGGAGGACAGCAAGAGGGCGCCGAGAGCCAAACGTCACGAATTTCCCTGTGGTGTTTGAGAGATGGTGGTGTCCTCCCCTTTTCGGGCTTCCAGGCGGGCCGTAGCAAAGAGCAAGGGAGGGAGGAGCCAAAATCAAGGCAACGGATGGAGGGAAGCAGCAGAGCCAAGCGAAGGGCTCCGTTGGGGCATCCTGATCACTTTTAGGGGTACGTTGGAATCTCTTGAGGCGATTCGAAAGTACTTGAGAACTTGAACTCGGCGGAACTCTGGACGCCAAACCAGCCGTTCGACTGTCGACGGCCAGGAGCGAGCGAAGTCCCCCGTATAATTAGGCAGAACGGGAATGCCCGAGAGGGAGCGCACAGCACTACACATTCCAACGACAATAATAGCTGCGGAGACTGGCCGTAAACTGCTGGCCCCGCCCTGGCCATCGCTCGGACGTCCATTCCCTGTGTTTTTTTCGGATTCGTGCGTGGCCGTTTTTCTCCAAATGATCAAGGATGCTCCTCGATGGTCCTCGCCGAAGGAAACATGCACACGTCCGAGCGATGCCAAGCGCCTCAAGCGGACAAGTCATGCCCCCCTAGCTTGGCAATTGTCACGGACGTGCCTGGGGCCATCTTTGAGCAGGGACCGACCGTCCCAGCATTCCTATGGCCCTACCACGAGATGTTCTTAGAGCCCAAAGGTGTCCTAAGAACAAAAACAATGTTCTTAGATCAGGAATCCGATGTGATGAAACAAGACAATCCCAACCAGAAATGCTCTAAGAACACTCCGTGGAAACCACAGAAAGGTTCTCAGAACATGGTCTGGTAGAGCTATAGGCGAGCCAGGACGCTTCGCCACTGCTTGACATCTGTCACTTGCCACCTGTCACGGGTCACCGCCGGCGCGCTGGACGCGCCGGCGGTGGCGCAGAGGCCTGGCGCGCCGCCCAGGAGGCGCGGCTGCGGGCCCGGCCGGGGCCGCCAGGCGAATTGCGTGCACGGTGCATGCCCTCCCCCCCCCTCCCCTGACCTTCCAGAGAGCCATTTTTTAGCACTGGAGACCTAAGACCCTAAAAAGCGGAGCGAAACAGCCTAAAACCTCCGCCTTGATTTCTGTCAATACCCTGACCTTCCAGGAGGGCTACAAAATAGCACCCGACGGAAAAACCTATCCCAGAGCTATTCTACGTCTTGGTTTTAGGCTGTTTCGCTCAGCTTTTTCGGTTTTCAGGTCTCCAGTGCTAAGAAGATAGCTCTCTGGAAGGTCAGGCCCCCCCCCCCCCTCCCTCCCCCCCCCTCAGCGGCAGGGCCCCCTGGTCGCCCGGAAAGACAAGAATGCCGGGGGGGCTCTCTGTCCGACAGCACCTGGGAGAACACTCGCCCAGCAAAAGCCAGGCTCAGAAGAAGAATATTTGGGACAAGGGCGCTCGAGAGGAGGCCCGACTGGCACGACTCAAGAGGCCCGAGAGCTGACCCCGAGAACGCGCAGCTGCTTGCCCTTTCAAACCGAACCCTCTCCCTTCAGGCCGGCATGCGCTGCTCCTCGGAGGGGGCCGCCTCTCAAGCCGAGAAACTGGTACGAGCAACTGAGGGCGTACCAGAGGCCCTCGGGACAGTCACCCACACAGCCCATGGCCGATGGGCAGGAGGCCCAAGCTGGCACCCGGCGGCGCTGGGAGGACGGCCGCAGCTGCGAGGGCTGACGCTGAGGCCGGCGGCAGGCCCGCATATCGGCATGCGGACAGGCGGACCCAGTGAAGGAGAGGGGATCCTGCCCTGACCTTCCAGAGAGCTGTTTTTCAGCACTGGAGGCCTAGACACCCTAAAAACAAACTCAGCGAAACAGCCTAAAACCAAGACGCAGCATAGCTTTGGGATAGGTTTTTCTTAGCCCTCCTGGAAGGTCAGGGTAAGGCAAGCGGAGCCCAGTCCCCGGGAGCCCCCCACCGGGACCCACAGCCCACCCCGAGCTCGCTCCTGGGGCCCAGGAAGGGCCCGAGCCGTGGGAGCCCTCGTCTTCGCGGCGGGAGGAGGGAGGAGGAGGAGGAGGAGGAGGAGGAGGAGGAGGAGGAGGAGGAGGAGGAGGAGGAGGGAGGAGGGAGGAGGGAGGAGGGAGAGGAGGGAGGAGGGAGGAGGGGGTGGAGGGGGAGGAGGGAGGAGGGGGTCCGCCTGCTGCCACGCGCCCTTGGGGGCCAGGAGGACGACCGGCGTCGGGCAGCGGGCGCCTCGCCACGCGAGCAGGGACAGGGCCGCCGAGAGGGGAACGCGGCGCGCGAGGAGGAGGAGGAGGAGGAGGAGGAGGAGGGAGGAAGAGGAGGAGGAGGAGGAGGTGGAGGAGGAGGAGGAGGAGGTGGAGGAGGAGGAGGAGGAGGAGGGGGAGGAGGGGGGGGGAGGAGGAGGAGGAGGAGGAGGAGGAGGAGGGGGAGGAGGGGAGGGGAACGCAGCCGGACAGGGCGCGCGGAGCGGAGTACCGCAAGAAGCCAGTAAAGACCCCCCCCCCCGGGGTTTATCATTAGCACAGCACCGTAATTAGAGAATCCTGGGGGACGGTTTTCGCCGAACGATATGATTAGCACCGCGCAAATGGAACGGAACAAAAAATCCCGCTCCCCGGCTCGGGTGGTATCCCACTTGGAATTGGAAAAGTATTAAGAATAAGAGCGACAGACGAGTAAGATGACTAACAATAATAATAACAATACGAATTACATAATGATGAAAATAAGAGTAAGAAAATAATACTAATTTCGAGAATGTATCAGGCGGTCTGTTTGTTTCGGCGAGCAGACTCGTCTGCGTTCACATAAAAGGTGCGAGGTGCCTAGGTAACGCTTCTGGGGTGCCGGGTGCGTTATACTTTCGCCGGAGAGGGAAGGGGGTTCTTAATTGATTCTTGCGGTTACTAGAAACGCAGTCTTGCCACGACGCTTATCTTTCAACCTCGAGGACTCAGGAACCGATGGCCTTACAAGAGCATGCCTCATCTCACGACGTTGAGACCTGGGACGCCCTTCAATCCCATTTTCCCGACAGTCCTCGCATCCAAAGGCGGAGGAGGAGACCCATTCTGGCAAGCTTCAATCGAAACAGCATATTCCGTTGCCCGTTTCACCAATTGCTGTTTGGTCCATCCCAATTTCTTCAAATTACTATTGTAGTACCCCAGCCACGCTTTGTAGGCTTGAGCAGCAGATTCGCGGTTCAAAGGCTCCATCAATCGTGAAGGAGGTGGCGCCTCGGGAAAAGAGTCATGCGCAAGCCTCGTGATTGGCATACCTTTGCCATCAAGATCACCCAAGAAATATGATTCGAAATCATAAAGAAGCAACAGACAGCGGCCAGATTTCCCAGCTCGGCCAGTGCGGCCAATCCGATGTGTATACTGATCAGTGGACGAAGCAGCCCCTACCTGAATAACTGCTGTCACGTCAGGATAATCTACGCCACGCGCTGACACATCCGAAGAAAACATGATTGCACTTCTGCTTTTTCTGAAAAGCTCTGAACATTTTGTTCGGTGCGCTTGTGTCTTTCTGGAATGAGTTTCCAAAATGTCCAGGCCTGCTGCGGTAAATTGCTCAGAGAAGAAAGCTGTGCTCTTTGCAGTATTGAAGAAGACAATTATCTTGCTCGTTAAAGAACTCAACCGTTCGAATTCGAGTACTCTCCAAAGCAGCGTCGTCATGCCGGCCAGATCACTCGTGACGACGCTTTGATCAATCTGGTCAGGCGTCTCTTCCTCGTCTGGTCTTACAGTGTTGATGTAGAGACGGTTTGGCCGCAAGGCGGATTTCCCGATTTGGTCCACAGTCGCAGGAAACGTAGCTGAGAACAGCGCTGTTCTCCGCAACTCTGCTGGAGGCAAACACCGAAAAATCCGCAGAAGAGCAGCTTTGAAGCCCATGTCTAAGAGCTGGTCGGCCTCATCCAGTGTTAGGACAACTAATTTTGAGAGCTTATTCGTGAAGCCTGGGGTGTTGTCAAGGTGGTCTTGCAATCGACCGGGCGTGGCAACCAAAATGTCGCAATTGGCAAGCTTACCCATATCCTTAGAGATCTTACCAACGCCCCCGTAGACGCAAGAAGCTGTGAGGCTATGGTAGTTGACAAGAACTTCTGCCTCTTTTGCAATCTGTGCAGCAAGCTCACGGGTGGGCGATATGATGAGGGCAGAGATGAAGCCCTTTCCCGCGGGCTGCTTGCAAATATTTTCGACCATGGGCACCAAAAAACCCAAGGTTTTTCCTGTCCCTGTTTTCGCCCTTACGATGACATCATTGTCCGCCAGCATCGGCCCGATTGCAGCAGCTTGCACAGCTGTCATTTGGTCGAAGCCGAAATCATGGATCAAAGCCTTCTTACTCTCTTCTGATATCTCCAGCTGGGAAAATCTAGGCGGATCTTTCGGTACTGATTGCAGTGGTGGCGCTTCCCGTTGCTGCTCTCTATCACCATGTCCTCGAACGCCACTGGCTCCATCTGGTGGTCCCACACCATGCGCCGGAGCGCGCCGAGCGCCTCCTCCAGCAGGGGGCACGTGCGGGCAGGATCTGTGTCCGTATCCACTGCATCTTGATGCCGCGCTCCCTTCCCCAGAACCCAGAGGCGTAGCGAGTACGGATAAAAATGTGGGCCCTGGCGGCTCCATTCGAACCCATGTTCACTGCGCCTCGGCCTTTTGGCGCACCGACCCAGAAAGTCCAAGACGCAGGGGATGTGGAACAAGTTCTTGGCCGCAGCACGCCTACGTCAGGTTCGTGTCGTGCCGATCTCGGCGCTGGTTTCTGACACCGCGGGGATCGTTCACCCTTGAACGATCGGCCATCCCCTAAACGTCAAACTCGTTCCACATCGAACGATTCTGCGTCGCCGGCGGCGCTCAACGTTGAGCGCTGCTGGCGGGGTCGCCACCGGTCGACACGACAGGAACCTACCTGAATATCGTTTAACCGATCCCCATCCCCAGCGGCGTGGCCCCCGTAGATGGGGACATAGGTCGTTCCCTTCGGGCTTCGAGGGGTGCATCCCCAACTGGGGGTGTAATTTGGTGGGGGCCTCGAAGGGGATGAGCATGGGGATGGGGATCGGTTAAACGATACTGACTACCGTTGTGAATGCCATGACAATGGACACTCTAACAAACCTATCATTGAACTAAAGATGTGTTTAACATGTGTAAAGGATAGTCTAAAACAAGTTTCAGGCATGTTTTTGACATATGTAACACATATTTGAAGCATCTCTTAGACATCTGGAAATTATTTGGCAGCATGCTTCCTCTCCACTAACGAGGGGCAACGATAGGGGAGGACTGACATAGGGCGGATGCATCGACCTGGAATCGGCGATACATCGCCGATGGATCGGCGATAGGCCTCCGGATCGTGAATCCGCACCTTCCTGGGCAGCTTGGGGCCATCGGGCCCCTATCGGCGATCCATGGGCGATTGGGGGTCGATACGTCCCCCCTATGCCTATCGCCCCCTATCGCTGCCCCTGAATTAATCGACTTCCACAGGACTGCCGGCAGTCGCAGGGGAACTAAAAGAGACATGAACATAAAAACTCGAAGGTCCGCGCGGATTTCTCGGATCGGCGCTGGACCCCCCTCCCTGGCGCGCGGAGCGCGCCAGGGGCGGCGCCGGAGGCGCCGCCGGGGGCCCCAGCGCCGATCCGAGAAATACGCTCGGACCTCCGAGTTCTTATGTTTATGTCATGTTTCGTTCCCCTACTATCGCTGCCCCTGAATTAATCGACTTCCGCAGGACTGCCTGCAGTCAGCACCGTCCTCGAGCAGGAGCCCTGACCTCCCAGGAGGGCTGAAAAAATAGCACCCGACCTAAAAACCTATCCCAGAGCTATTGTACGTCTTGGTTTTAGACTGTTTCGCCCAGCTTTTCAGGTTTTTAGGCCTCCAGTGCTAAAAAATAGCTCTCTGGAAGGTCAGGGAGAATCAGCTCACGCAGCTGATCTTCCCGGAGCCTCCCGGCGCCCGGAGGCGCCCATGTATCGAGGAATGGGCCCCTCGGTGGGGCCGAAACCAGCTGCATGCAGCAGACCCTGACCTTCCAGAGAGCTAGTTTTTAGCACTGGAGGCCCAAAAAGCCTAAAAGACGGAGCGGCACGGCCTGAAACCAAGACGCAGAATAGCTCTGGGATAGGTTTTGAGGTCGCGTGCTATTTGTTAGCCCTCCTGGAAGGTCAGGGCCAATCCCCCCCGTTCGTCCAGCCCGATCCTCGAGCAGGACCCTGATGGTCCGCTACCGACAATTTCCGGTAACGCTCCGCAGAGATCGGTCGCTACCGAAATACCGAAATGTAGCGCCCAGTACCGGTATCAGAGCGTTCTGAAACCCGCTATTTCCACGCCCTCAAACGAAGATCCGGTCGCTACCGAAATTCGGGGTGCGTCGAAATCGCTACCGAAAATCTCCGGTACCAGATCATCTGGGCCCCGTTCGTCCAGCCCGATCCTCGAGCAGGAGGCACGCCCAGCCGGCGGCCGCCGGCGGCCGCGCGGCCGGGGCCCCGCGGGCGGGGCGCCGGCGCCGGGCGGCGGCCCGCCACGGCGCCCGCGGGCAGGGCGCCGGGCCTCGGGACGTATGAGAGGCAGCTACAGGGCAGTTTTCAATACATACTCCAAATCCTAATATTAATATAAACCCCCCCTAAAAAACCAGGCCCCCCTCCAAATGCGACCTAACATTCCGGACCCCCTCTTCGAGGGGGCGCCTTAGTAAACCAGACCCCCTCAGCTCCAATCCAAAGAAAGCGACCTAATAACCCGGACCCCCTTGATGACCAAAAAGGCGCCTCAAAAAACCGGACCCGGGAGACGATTAATAAGGGATTTGGAATACCCAGATGGTGTGGTACCGGAAATTTTCGCTAGCGATTTCGACGCACCCCGAATTCCGGTAGCGACCGGATCTTCGTTAGAGGGCGTGGAATAATAGCGGATTTCAGAACGCTCCGATACCGGACCTGGGCGCTACATTTCGGTACTTCGGTAGCGACCGATCTCTGCGGAGCGCTACCGGAAATTTTCGGTAGCGGACCATCAGGGTACAGCCCTCGTCAAAATGAACCTCAAAAATGTCTGGCGTGTCGGAGCTGCTTGTCGGAAGATCTGGGGCCGAGTATCGACGAGTGCGGGGTACTTGCATGCGCCGCCCCTCCAATGTCGGTCGACGTCAAACTTTCGAGTCAACTTCGGTCAGACTATCTTTGCCCTCGCCCCGACATTGCAGGGGCGGCGTGTCGACATTGAGGGGCGCGCCGAAATCGAAATGACGTGCCAGCAACTGTTGAGGTACGAGGGTAGTAGGATGTTTTAAAACATATGGTTTTCATACATGATTAATTTAGGGATATGTTTATGCATAAGCTCCTCGTTGTTTTTAAGACTAAATCCCTGTATTTTTGATACATGATCCGCACGCGGAGCATGTATTAACAACGGCACTGTACTGTTAAGTCGGGCGTGTTCCCCTACAGGGGATGTTCGACGAAAAATAAAGCATGCTCAAAAGATATCCCAATAGGGTAAAACAATGCTTCAAAAATAGGCCCCAGACTGTTTTTTTTCCCCTGTAGAGGGAAAAGATTCAAGAGGATTAGGCCCCATTGAAGGCCTTTTATGCCGGAGTGGGTCTCGGATGAAGCCGGATTGAGCGGGATTAAGCCGGATTGAGCGGGATTAAGCCGGATTAAGCGGGATGAAGCCGGATTTCGGACCAGGGCAAAAACAGAACTTGACCTCCCAAGAGTTGCATCCGAACAGTACGTGTTTCGGGCGCTGCCGGGTATCACAACTGCGAGGCGGGGATTTACAGGCCAGTCGGAAGAAGTGGGTTGAAGCATGAGGTACTCCAGATTTCGTAATAAAGGGAGGGGGGTCTAATTTCGGGGGGGGTCTCTTCCAGGCTATCTTGGAGGGCCTGGGGGGGTCTGGGGACGACGTTTTGGAGGGTTCTCCCAAGGGGGGGGGTCTGAAATGGCTTGTCGTGGAGGGTCCAGACCCCCTCTCTTTTATTACGAGATCTGGAGTACCTACTTTCAACGACCGGCTTGTGTCCATATCCACCGCCTGGGAACCGACGTCCTGGTGCCCCAGCGGGCGGTGGATATGGATATAGTTCGGCCCCCGGAGCCCGAACATGTCCGCATCCACCGCCTGCCGAGGCTCCGAAAACTGACCCTCCAGGCGGTGGCCATATATAAATTCCCGCCTCGGAACAATGCCGCTGGCCTGACGTTCACACTCCAGGGTCTAGCTTTTTTTGTTGGTACGTTCTTTTGGGTGCAGGCGAGAGCGAAAAAGGAACAGCGCAAACAAAAAACGACCCCGGCGCTTTCGAGAACAAATAAGCGTAGGTCGGGCGTGTCCTTCTACAGGCGGATTTTGAGTGACAAACAGAAAGAAGCCAAACGATGTTTAACAATACCCCAAAAGAGTCAAACAGAATCGTCCCCAGACTATGTTCTGACTATTTGGGGCTTACACCTGAGAGAAAACGATGCCCGGCATAACCAGCCAAGACCATTCGACTCGAGAGATGGGACTGTCAGTTGGCTCGGGGAGACTGTCAGTGTGACTGCCTGTGGCCGCGTCAACATGTTAAATGGGTACTCATGCGACTAGTCTTATGATGTTCCAACTTACTATAGCCGTGATCACCATACAAAAAATCGAGCAATGGGAGCAACACAAGACACCGCCCCCAGACATGCCCGACTTGAAACTATGATGGGCGTGGTCTCCAACACCACCACCATGAGTTTGTCGCGTCGGGTGGTCGATCGATCCCTCGCGCGATCGCGAGCGATCAGGCCGCCCAGGAGGTCGGGCTCACGCGAGCCGATCGGCGCCCCTGGGGGGGGTGAGGCATCCCTTGCCTCGCGGGCCTCCCCCCTTGGGCCCGATACGCGGCCGCGCGCTGCTCCTGGCGCCGCCGCTGCCGCCGCGCCGCAGCCAGCGCCTCGCGGCTGGAGACGGCGGCCAAGGAGCCAGCTTGGCATCGCCGAGACCGCCAGCGACGGTCCTCGGCGCGCGTGCTGAAGGCAGCCTGCCTGCTGGCGCCGCCGGCCGTGGCTCTATGTGGTGTGCGCCCCCGACGGAGGTGAGGCGCCCCGCGGCGAGCAAAAGCCAGCGGCGCGCATGGAGGAGGCTGCTCCTGGCGACCAGCCGCCAGGCCGCCCTGGACCACGGGCTGGTCGAGCTGGATTTCGGCGCCTGGCTAGCCACGCCCTTCGACTACGAATTCGTCGAGGGCTGGCTGCAGGAACCCGCGCGCGAGAAGTGCGAGAAGTGGGAGGCGACGGTGGTGCCCAACACGTTCAGCTACAGCGCTGAGACCTGCCCCGCAAGCCTCGAGCCAGGGACCAGCGACTACGCGACGTGGGCGGCGAAAATGGGGCCCGACACGATCAGCTACAGCACTGGAACCATGTCATGCGAGAAGGGGGAGGTGAAGTTGGAGCCCACCGTAACCAGCCGCAGAGACACGGCGGCATGCGAGAAGCTGGAGGCGAAGACGAAGGTCGAGCCCAACGTGACCAGCTACAGTGCAGAGAGCCCATGGGCGGAGAGGGAGGCGAAGACAGAGCCGAACTTGATCAACTACAGTGTCGAGGCGCGCGAGAAGGAGCGAGAGACGTACGAGCGAGACGGGCGAGCAGTGGCTGTTAAGTTGGCGAAGCTGGAGCCCAATATCGTTTGCTACTCCTCGGCGAGCCTCGCCGCCACGGCTGGATCAGAGAAAACGGTTTGCGAGCAGTGCGTGAAAACTGTTTGCGAGAAGTGTGAGAGCGAGCAGAGCGAGAAGGAGGAGGCGAAGATAGAGCCCGACATCACCCGCTACAGTGCTTGGATCAGGGCATGCGAGAGGCGGAAAGCGAAGCTGGAGCCCGACATCATCGCTGGCCACAGTACTGAGAACAGCGCATGCGAGAAGAGGGAGGCGAATACAGAGCCCGACACCATCAGCTGCAGCGCTGGGATCAGGGCTTGCGAAAAGGGGGAGGCGAAACTGGAGCCCGACCTCAGCATTGAGGGGCCTCCAAACGAGTCTTCGAATTTCCTTCCGACCGACCTGGTTTCTGGAGAGCCGAAGAGCGACCCCTTCGAGTCCCAGGCCGACCTCGAGCTGGAGGCAATAGTGAGCGCACCTGAGAAGGCGGACAGGACGTCCTCTCAAGAGCCCTCCCATCCAGGTGCGCAGACAGCCGCGAACATCGTCGACACGCGCGCCTGCGAGAAGGGGAACGCGAAGCTGAGCAGCTACTGCGTCAGCAGGGCCATGTGGCACGCACGCTCCCAAATCGCCAGCACATGGCTAGAAGGCGGCGAAGCGATCGAGCCCAACGCCATCAGCTACAGTGTTGGAATCCAATGGGAAGCGGAGGACATACATGGAGTGTGGGGGCCCCTTCCGAGGGTTGACCAGAAAAAGGTGGAGAAGCGATATCAAAGATATCTCCACGGTGAGGAAAGCGGCAAGTTCACGATCACAGGGTCGAACGGGAGGCCCACGTGGCCCCTCAGAGCAGATTTCGACAACATGCTGCTCCTGAGGGCCACAAGGGCGAAGGCTTCGATCAAAGGCATCAGGATACGCAGAGTGTAATTGCGCTGCGTGAGAGAGGAGTTTACATGCTGTATGAGTGAATTGCAGCGTGGTTGTTCTGTGCTGCGCTAGGGGCCCCAAGCGTTTCTGGGCTCCCGAAGCGGCACCCGCCTAGGCGAAACTCGACTGCGTCGTCGCCGAATTCTCCCGAATTCTCCTCCTCCTCCTCCTCCTCCCTCCTCCTCCTCCTCCTCCTCCTCCCCTCCTCCCTTCCTCCCTCCTCCCTCCTCCCTCCTCTCCTCCTCCATCCTCTCCTCCTCCTCCTCCTCCTCCTCCTACCTCCTCCTCCTCCTCCTCCTCCTCCTCCTCCTCCTCCTCCGCTTCCTGGCCCCCCCTCGAGCATCTGGTTCTCGGCCTCTCGTGATATAATAAAATAATAGCGAACAAGAAAAAAAAGGGCAGGGCCCCGACTTGAGACGGAACGCCAGGCCCGACCAAGCGCCGCCCGCTGCCGCGCCGAAGCACCTCCGCGGCCAGCGGACAACGCGGCCCGCGTGCCGCGCGGCGCGCCCCGGCGGGGCGGCGCGGCCGCCGCGGCCGCGCCGCCGCCACGCGGCTCGGCGGGCCGGCGCCGCGCGCACGGGGCCCGCCGGACGAGGCCACGGCGGCCATCGCGCCGGGGGGGCCCACGGGCCCGAGACGAGCGGCGGCGAGCAGGAGGAGGGGGGGCTTGCAGGGGCCCTGGGACACACAGATAAATACACACAGATAAGAGGATTCCCCATATTTTCCCATATTTTCTGGGTTTCCGTCTTCCCCCCCACTTCCCATATTTCCTGATATTTTCCTGGGGACGTCGTCGATTATTATTAGTAATTGTGTCTGTGGGGGTCCCGCTGTCCACATGGGTAATAGGGGGGAGCTTCCCCAAGCCCCCCCCCCC